AGCCGGTCTTTGGCATTCTTATTGCGAATACAAGCTTAAGCTACACAAAAGCGGCCCTTGCAAGCGCTAGCGGGAAGAACCACCGCCATTTTTGGTGTCGCAATATTGTTCGCAGTAGAGGGTGTGCAGTCCAAAACAAGGGAGTTACCTTAAGCGCCATCTTTATCACATTGCTTCCTAACTGCGATATTTCATAGTAAATTCTGTTAAAACGGATTTTTTAGTGCTTTCTTCCTCCTTCAACATATATGCCATTTTGAAACTCACCCTAGTCCTTTCTCAAACATCGGAGAAAATGCATTTGCTGCGCACATTCTCGAGCTCTACCGCTAAAACGAGTACGGTGACCCCCAATTTTTATGTCATGATTCTAAACAGCGCTTTGTTAAAATGAGAAAAAAAAAACTGGCATAAATCTATGTTCAGTTTTTTGGCAATTTTACTGAATTGTACGGATTGAGCTGTAACGGGTCGAATAGCGCATGTCCAAATTAAGTCTACTTTGGAGAGTGCATTTTCTGGTACTCAAGTGGACAAACAATACATTTAAGTAAAGTTCAGCGTTGGTATTTGGGGAGAATGGAACTTTAAATTTGTGCGTCCCTTCCGAGACGCACTGCGCTTTCATCCGCGCGAAAGTACTGAGCTCGAGCAACCACAATAAGGAGCTTAAGCAACCCAATGGATCTGTTCCTCAAAATATCTGTTCTTCATGCAAATTTTTGCTGGCTGGGAGATGTGGAAGAAACAATAGTCCTTGGAAGGAAAGTGTTGCTGGGAAAAAAGATAATTCAGGGTGTCAGAGGGGATTTGAAGTCTAGAATAGCTGCTACGGGTTACTTGTATGGGTTGCTTACCACTCAAGATCTGAATTAAGCCCTATGAAACTTCCCAGTAAGTCAGGTTGCAGGTTGTAAGGTTGCTGGCTGGGAACTCTTCCATCAGTCTTGCTGGGAGTGAGGAACAGATAATTTTTTTTCCAGCAATCTCCCAAAGTGCTTAAAATAGTCTCAGAAAACTTTATTCACGCTTTTTTGTTGTTTTTAGGTCTTTTACTCAAAATTTCCCGTTGGGTGCCCCTGATCAACGGCCACGGTTACGAAAAGGTCACTTGAAAACTGACGTCGCGCAGCTTCAAACTTTATTACGTTTATTCCATGTTGTTCAATTCGTCAAATGTTGGGAATTTGTTCTGGAGTTGAATTCAAGACTGTATCAAAGTTCAGGAAAACAAAAAAAGTCGTTGGCTCGTGTTCATGTCGTCCACAAAACGAGAAATTACGCATTTTCACGTCGTAGTCTTGCAGTTACGGCAAATAAATGTTCAAGATGACTAATAAAACTCAGGACCTTTTAAGATTGTACGAACCATGGATTTAGGTGAATCTACCGAATCCAAGCTGAGTATGGATTCAGTCTGTTTTACAGTGAGAACCGTTTCCAGATTTAGATTCCCTTAATAACGAGTAACTGTAGACTAACCAAGTTTACAGCAACGGAGTCACACATCCACTATGTCACTTAAGGTGATGTTACACGAGACGATTCGCAACGACTCTTTTTAGCGCAACAAAAGGTTGAAATGTCGTAACAATGTTGCAGCCTTTCGAAACGATGTCGCAACAATGTTGTAACGCTGCGTTACCCTAAAAATCATCGTTGCGAATCGTCTCGTCTAACATAACCTTTAGGTTTGTCAGTTTGTGTTGTTCGCTTAACAAATTGGTGCCTGCGTCATCGTGCGTGTATCGAGATATGAATCACAAGCGAAGTTTAGAGGGCATCATAGGGCAACCCTTACGCCTCTTAAGTGCTTTCCGAACTTCCAACGTGCCTCTAAACAGCGGAGTTCTATAGCTGCAGAAAATGGAAACCTATCGATGTCAGAAAATTTGGTTATGACGTCAACGTACGCCCGTACAGACTCTGGGGGTACGGGTAACAAATTCTTAGTAGCGTAGTGAAGGGAGTCCCAGATATGTACGTTTCGTTTCGTTTTCGCGCAAAATTAGCCATTTTAGGGGCAACCACCAGTGCTGCTAGAGTAAAGAACTACATTAAGTTTCTTGTGTTCAAACAACGACAAAATTTGTAAGGCTTTGTCTTTTGCTTAATCACGCTTTTTTGGCACACTCCAGGAACAGCCTTGCATAAGCAGGGCACAGGGAAAACAAATTTAAAATACAGACCACAATAGAGTAAAACGAACAATCAAACAAGCCAGAGAGCAGATTGATAACCCTTTATTTTAGAGTTCATTTGCTCCTTTTAAGTGACAGAAAATCAACTTCGCGCAATTTTCGCAAAGTAACATTGCTAATATTTTCCGAATTAATTTAACGAAGTCTGCTTCGAATTTCTGAAGGCTGCACTACTGTCCACTTTTGTCTTTATCTAATATATGACTTAAGAAGTACTGATATACCTCCAACATAAAACATTCAATCTTTTGATAATCATTCTAGAGTTAACACTGCTCAGGATCAAAACTTTAAAGCAATTACTCCTCCAACTGTCCACTTATTATGAGCTTGAAAGAGAAAGGCTGGAACTTGTAGCCTGCTCCTTGGTAAAACTTGTTCTGGAACTCGACCCTTCAAAATGATAATTAAAAATTGCAATGAGAAATCATGAGTAAAACTTAATACACATGAAGGGTTAATCAAGTAAATGAGAAAAAAAATGTCCGCAGATCCTTCCGCGTCGCCGAAAGAAAGAAAAACAAATCAAAGAAAGACTATCGTCAACTCGTGGGTACGTTGTTTAGAAAATAATCAATTAGTTATCACCTCTGGTTTTCCCACAGTGAATTTTAGGAAATGATAGAAATTCATATTATAAATATACTATCCTTGTTCTGGAAACACAATACTTTTCTTGCTGTTTATTGCACTTTAGTAACAGTTATTTAAGTATATATTTAAAAACAAAACAAAAAAAAACAGCAAAACAAATAAGCAAACGAGACAAAACAAAAAAGAAAAAAAAAAGGAAGAAGGGAAAAAGAAGGTCTATAGCAGGATTTGAACCCGGTGCCTTCGGTAAGACCCGACCTCACATAGCCACTACGCCATTTAGGATGTCGCATAATAATTATTCAAATTTAATGCGCTTTATATGGAACTTCCGGCGGCAAACGACCGGGACAAACAATCGAGCCATAAAAACGACTCGAAGGAATGGGATGAAATTAAGGCTAATTGAAACCAGGCTACTGACAGTAAAAAACAATGTAAACGCATTTCATGGCAATGAAAGAACATATGCGATACAAAGCCGACACAACTCCTCCGCGAAGTAGGACGCAAAACATTAGCTTATGTTTTCTTATGTCGACATCCGCTGTTATTTTAAAAAGGTAATGCTCAAACTCACATCCATTTCCCCCCGTGATCTTGGGGAGTCCTTAAGAAGAAGAAGAAGAAGAAGAAGAAGAAGAAGTGCCTTTATTTACCATACATTTCACCAGTCCGTATTTTATACCCAGTCCGCAGTCCGTAGTTCGCATTCCGTGTTTTATACTGACCGCCATAAATTCATTCATACACATAACCTACTACAGTACTACAAGGTACGAGATCAAGCCAGCGTCGAAGTTGAAGGAGTCGAAGAGCAAATGCTCATCTTCTTGTCAAGTTTAACGCCTGGACGGGTCAAAGGCTTTTGAATCGTACTAATTTGAAAGATTCCTGCCTGTCTTAATTTGGTAAGACCTCTATCCTAACCGTGCTGTAGCGCACGATCCACTTTCGCAGCGAGGAATTTGATGCTACCGAACTTCGGCGAGCGGGTGCTTCTTTGGAAACGATAGATCTTCGCGCTCTCGAGTTCGGACCCGATTAATTACGAAGTGCGTCTACTACGAGTGAGTGAGTGACTCATTTGCATATCTCAGTCCCTGCAATAACTCGTGATACGCTCGCGCGTACCCACGAGTTAAAAAAGGACTTAACAGCAACAGCGTTGTGGAAGAAACGAAAACCCCAGAAATTCGCAGAAAAACCCTTTAGACTTAACGAGGTACCAGCAAAGCTTTAAAATAGTTCTCCAATTGAGAATCGCGAGGGACGAGCAAACGCCCCAGTGTTTTGTGAACTACGACTATTGCGTTCTCACTGACAGAACAATTTTCCCTTACCACGTTCTTTAAGAGCATAAGTGGGTTCTTGGTAACATAATGCTTTAGACTTGCTACAAATCGGCCTCACGAGTTTCTTAGCCAGAGGAGAGAGCTTTTTAGGCCGCGAAGTGGCCAAACGAGCGACGAAGTCGCGAATCGGACAAAGGACTTTTTTAAAAGTCTACATAATGCTTGGGTGCCTGCCGTTTACATACACACCACCCGGGTGGAAATCTTGTGTACAAAAATAAAACTATAAAATCTGACGTAGTGCGGGAGAAGGACCCGCTACAAAGGACATGCAACTCAGCTGAACAACCTAAAATGAGTAAGAAAATTGCATCGCCTCAAATCACAGCCCTTAATTTCTGAAGCTTTCTAACTGGAATGGCGCGAGCCATTTGATTTTCCAAACGTAATTTCCGTTTTTCCGATGTAAATGGTAAGTACCTCTGGTGCAGGACTGAGGAGATATCCCATGCGGGAAGGGGGGGAGGGGGATGGGAGGATGGGGGATGGGGAGGTGGGAAGGGGGATAACAATCCCAGATTCAGGATCCTAGATGGTTCATGTTGGAGATACAGGGAAACGCTCGAGCGTGTGGACTTCCTGTTGCTCAAAAAACTTATATACTAACTCAGCTATTTTGCTGAAATCAGTGACAGCTCTGCTATGCATAAAGTTAATTATTGGGAACTGTTGTAGCAACAACTTACCAGTGAAGACGGAGAGCGTGCAGGAAAGCTGACAACCCCTCCATAATCAACAAGACAGCAACCGTCAACACTGCAAACAATTGAACTCAGTCAATAAAACATTATGTTATATCATCCTTTTCACTGTGATTTGTTATGTATTGTTCAATACGAGATTGTCTCTTTTCAATAAAATATCAGATCAAAGTTTCACAAACAACAAGGCACAGCGCCAAGACATAGCACCGCGGAGTGATATTCAATATAAGCACGGAAGGTATTACTATAAACAGAAGCTGCAACCCGACAAATGCTTTACAGGATAAAATAAAATACCAAAAAAAAAAAACAAAAACAAAAACGACCTTTGATTCCTTAATAAAGCTGGAAGGCGAGTGGGCAGAAGGCAGCCGGTGGCGTAAGTATATAATTATATTGAAAGATATTATTTGTCACGGATTGTGTATGATGATAGGGTTCGTCTATAGTTTACTCACTATAGTCACTCCCTGGAATTGAGATTCCAAAAGCGTGTGCGTGCCCACGATCAGACAATACAGCAGAGACGCTAAGGGAACAGCTTCTAACACAATTCTAGTCATCGAAATACAACAACCTCAAAGGAAACACAAGGCAGCTTCGCCCGATGAAGACCAACGGTAATACAAACTACAGTGGCTGTCATTTGACAAACTTTCAACGAACCCTGTGATACTGTAAACAGAAACTTTGAAAAAGCTGGAAAGACTGCAATCCACTTTAACCTTCTTCAATTTCGTCCAAAATGTTCCTACACTATTTGAGGCGGTAATTTTTGTATTTCCACTTCCTAGTAGTTGAACCTGTGAAAACTGAGTGAAATGGTTCCGTCCAAAAAAAAGCTGCTTAACCCCTTAAGACTCAAGAGTAATAAACAGCCATTTAATATCAAAAGAATAGGTTGCGAGGATTAATAAAATAATCACTTAAGGAACAATGCTTTGATCTTTTATCGAATTCTCTCAACTTATTCCTTACAGAAATGTATAGGCGAATCCTTGCTGACGTCATTGTTTACATTTTTCCTCATTAGCATACGACTTAACTCATAGAAGCCGTGGCCGTATATATAAACTAAATGCAAAAGTTGAAAGAGCTGAGTAAGTTGAGCAATTTGTGCAATTTTCAGCTCTTTGTAAGCAATATTGAAGGAAATATCAGCCATCAAAAACTGCGAAATTGCTGTGTGGCAAAAAAGTTAACGAGCTATACATTCTCTGTAAAATTTCGTGTTTTTAGAGGAGGATTTCTCCGAAACCATTCAATGTATTGGGCTCAAAGTTTCAGAGATAACTGAAACTGTTATGCCCTTTCAATATTTAGAGTTTTTATTTCATTAGTGTCATCAGGATAGTGATAAGAATATGTTAATGAGGCAAAAACTGTACACAAAGATTCGCCTATAGAGTCCAGTGTGGGGAATTTGTATGCGTGAATATTGGGCCGGGGCTTAAAGGGTTACGAGAATAACCTGACCTGCCCAGGCCTGAAACAATGCATACGCTGCCACAACTCCAACGCCTCCCTTCATGCTCAGAGCCAACTTAAGAACCATGCTCCACAACACTTCTGACAACTCTGTGATGGAAAGTAAACTAATAATTAATGTTTACCGTAATTCCCCCTACTTCCCCCGCTTAGAGCAGGTTCCACCCCCCGCCCTTTCCTCTCCCGCCCACTATTCCCCCGGGCTGCCCCTTAGGCAATTTCGCATATTTTCATGTGTTTAAGATATTTTCGTTTGTTTTATATTACCTGTTTTACATTGCCTGAAATTGAAAGTCAACAAAACAAACGCTCTCACTTTGCTTCCTAAATACGCATGCCCATCACTTGTGCGCTCGCTAAGATCACGTGACATGTCTAAGGTGACGAAAACAATAAATTTCTGCTGACAAATTTTAGGTTTTTATCTAAGCTTGCCTTTACCATTCCATTTTTTTCTTTTTAAGCTTATTGGCGCGGAAGAGTACTTGAAGTACTTGAAACCTCGTTATAAGATATTAACACGCACAGTAAAAGGATAAAGCAATTGTAGAATAGCTGTGTTCAGCCACCTTAGGGATGTGAAGTCAGTAATCTTACCTGCATGAGCAAGACTAAGCGCCCAAAGTCGCAGGTAAGATGCAGTGTTTGAGATACAACCAAGGCAGTACTCTATAGTGTGGATAATCTGATGTACAATGATCTCGCCAAAGTCAAACTGAGAAAGAGAAAAAAACAAAGACCGGGTAAAAAGTGTGAGGAAAAAAGGGAAACAGTTTCCAAGTAAAGCTAATCTGATCACAAAAGAGTTGCTATTGAGAAAGATCGTCTTTGCAGACACAAGTGAGATATACTTATCAAGGTGTTAAAATTTTCTACAGTACATTATAGCCTGTTCCAGGCAATCACTTAGTGGAGAGCTATGTAAAATGGTGGGCAAAACGACACGCAAAGGCCTCTCTCCCTACCCTTTTCTAAGTATTTTTTCTGTTAACTTCTCAATTCCCTGTACCTGCTACCTGAATTCCTGGAACAACATTACCGCTAAAAAGTCATGGTTGATCAAGAACAATAACAGCAGAAGATTATGGTTCAGAATTTCTTGATCCCGCAAGTATTTTGTAGGTTTTAACATTTTATTGTACAATAGGTAATTTTTCCCTCTTTTTTAGGTGGAAATATTTTTCTTAAAACCTTTATAATGCATTATACCTTTGTCTTGTATCAATGAAAAGCCCTGCAGGGGCGTGTTCAATAAACTCCTTACTTCTTACTTCTATTGTAGCTTCTATTGTAACTTCTTTTGTCCGATTCAGACTAAAGCTTGGAAATTAAAGAGCGCGTTGAAGTTCATTTTAATCCTGTGTACAAAGTAACCTGTGTTCCAGTTTTCCATTACTGCTTTTCAGTTTTGACAGGCTGATTTAATTAAACATGTTTAATTGGTGTGAATTGGGGTGTACTTTTTTTGATACTTCTGTGTTATCACGTTTCAAGATAAATATTTTGATGTTCTCATGATATTCAGCTACTTCAGCGCGCTGGTCGTCAGCTGGCGGATTGTTAGACTTGCTACAAGTCGACCTCTTGGCGAGCGGAGCGAGCCTTGTTTGGCCGCGAAGCGGCGACCGCGAGCGACGAAGTCGTCCCGCGCCGACGAAGGACTTTTTTGAAAGTCTAGCTGATTGTATTAGATGGGTACAGTCTTCACTGAAGGAACTTTGCTATACCTCCTCATGGATATCATCCCCATGTTCTGCCATTGCTTGGCCTTCATGATGAACCACTTCACCACCATCAAGGACTGAATCGCCCAAATTCACTGCCACAGGGGGAGGGCTGGGGGAGCTTGATCTTAGCCTCTGAAAACCCTGGTAATAAGAATTCAACTCAGTCTCTACTAACGCTTTATAAACAAATTACATCAAACGACAACTTCACATTCGCCACTTTGAAGTTGCACGGGTCGAGATGGTTGCCAAAGTGCATTGTGGGACTGTTTTGGGGGTCAAATTTGCCGCCATGTTGAAAATTCGTCCCCCAAAACAGTCCCACAATGCACTTGACAACCATCTTGACCCAGTCTTCCGCACAACCTCAAAGTGGCCAATATACATGCTCCATTACGGCCATTATTTCTGTTACTTAATTTTTTTAACCCTTAGATACCCAACTTCATACAGTGGCTACAGGAACCTTTGTAAAACAGACACTTGGTTCTTGTCCCTTGGAGTTCTGTTAAGGACATTTGACCATTTCATGACAAAATGACCCTTAGAGGATTATTTTAACAACCAAAAGTACAAAACACATCTGCATGTACTGGTATTCAGTGATTTTGTTAAAGGTGAGTCCTGAGACTCATCAGGTGAAAAATGAGTCCCTGTCCAGAACAAATGAGTCCCAGTTAACGAGTCCGAGATTGAAAATACTTTGGGCCTTTATGTAACCAGACAGTTAGTCTGAAGACAGACTCCAAAACTCTGTAACTCTGTGTAGGATAGGGTTAAGTGTTTAACACGAACCTTACTTTCATTTTCATTGCTGCACTTCTTTTTTTTAAGCTACTTTATGAAATCCAGGGTACCAGTATGTAAGTTTTTTTTTAAAAAACTATCAAATTTCTCTATTACCGAAAGGAAAGAGGAAGCACCAAATGGTTAACAGGCACATTCCAGACTTCAACTTCAGGTTCTAAGTGTAAGTCCAATCAAACCTTACTGACTAGAGGTTATCATTGATTACGGATCCGCGTTATAGTAACTTACGGAAAATTACGGAAACGAAATTGAGTCGAAAGGAGTCCAGTTCCCCAGCCGAGGTGCCCCTGATAAAATTAATAAGGGCGGCTAATTTGAAGTTGCCAATGAAAGCTCGAACATTTCTGCCTTAGTGTCACAGGAACACCAAATTAGGATCTTAACATAAAACGACGAAAAAGAAGAACAAGGGGGACCAAAATCTACCAATTCAAAACCTGCAGACACGAACCTTTGAACCAACCATATATGGCTGAAGAAAACTCTTTTCTTAAGAGGTATGCAAAGACTATTGAGAACAGCGAAACATGAGATCAATAGTATTTAACTTTGGTATACAAAAGTAGCTATTAAAATGGATGCAGAACTTCTGTACGACAATTAAGACAATAGTTTTTGAGCTGCGATCTTAAAATCACTTTTGCCATGACATGTTTGTCTTATTTAAAAGGCCACTACTCAAACCTAATGCAAAGTGTCTTTTGATTAAATAAGTATCTTACCTCATCCTTCTTGGCCTTGTGCTGGCGACGTAGGTAGATTGGTTTCACCAGGAGCATCCAGGGCACACACAGAACTGCTACAACTACCAACAGCAGCTGAATAATATCCTACAGAAGAGGCCGGTACTACTTATCAGTACGTATTTGATCTTCACAAACCCTTTTGTCAAGAATCCTTTACCACTCAATATTAGAATCCAACAATTAACTTTAGAATGTTAACGCCCCAGGCAATACACCATTTCAACTGCTAGTAAATGCAATCCTTTTAATTCATATTCCACTTAATCTCCTTAGTAAGTAAACACTTAATCAACCGCCTTCAAACTTGACCTCAAATTTTGAATGTTTGGCCCCCAAACAGGTCACATTTGCATCAACAGTATACTCCCTTGGTACTGTACTGCTGAATGCACTGAGAATGTTTGACATCCACTGACAATTGGTTGACATTGTATTAGCCATTTGCTCTGTTGGCTAGCAAACGGAGTTTCAAAAATCTCATGGGGTTGAATGCAGGCGGTTCTCCCCTTGCCCTCTCTCCCTCGTTTTCTTGCTTAATCTTGGTTCACCTTTCGTGCGGCTGTATCCCTTATTTTACTTAACACAAAGCAATCACCACAAAAACTGCCTGGTACGCAGGCTACACTATCTGGAACAGCAACAACAATATACAGGCTGCTTAGTGCAATATGCTTACATGGTACGCTAATAATAAGCGAATTGCGAAAAGTTTGAACCCAAGAGTCATTTCAAAAGTAGGTTGAGTTTGATAGTCCGGGTGAACGTAGTCCTAAATAGGACTGTTGTTGTTGACAGTGACTGACGTTTCGACAACCTATGAGGTAGTCATCTTCAGAGTCAAAGTGAGTTGTATCACGTCAGTTGATGGTATTATACTCTGGTTATTGATCTCATTGATCAATTACGTCGCGATGTTATTGGTCGTCTGTCAGTTAAGCCGTGATGTTATTGGCTATGAAGACTCGTAATCAATCGTTCTCTTGTAGCTATTTTTGCTTGAAAGCAAATTGTACTGCACGAGGTTTTCTTTTTCCTTGTTTCCCTTGGCATTTTACCTGGTACGTGTTGCAATTTTAAATCTAGGAAAATAGAACTTGTGTCTTTTGCTTACCTGTCCTTTATAAATTAAGTCGCTCGCTTGAATGGTTCCGCCAAACTGGAGAAACATGTTGATCAGAGCTAACAACAAGCTTGGTTGCTTAAAGAAAATGGAAAGCAAAAAGTCAGGGAATTCGCCAAAAGTCGAAACTGGCCAGCTGGACAGGCCAACGTGAAAAAGAAATAATTTAATAGTCTTTTCTTAAAAGTCGTTAACATACTTTTTTTTATATTAATTGTTTGAACCTCGGTATAATTCAAATTAGACAGACTGCAAATTATAGTAGTTGCTAAAAAATAGATCTACGAGCCCCAACTGTTCATCAGTAGGATGCCTAAAATGCGTGCAATTCCACAATTGGTTTCGGCTCCATTAAATCCTATACCAACTGCAGAACAATTTAGGGGGAGCCACCCACCGTGTGAGCACAGTCGCGGACAACACATATAAGTGAGGAAAATAACGCAAAGCAAAACAAAGACGTAGGGCCAAGGGACTGGTGAAATTTGTTTGCTATTAAGAGTCATTATATGGAGGTTCTTTTTCACATTTTTTACTATTAGGGTAAAGGAAATCATTCGTTGTAATGCGGACTTCATTATGCTGAGGTTCTTTATATCAAGGTTCCACTGTAGATTAATCTGGCTCAGTGGATAGTCCTGATAAAATAACATTAATGAAATTCTCTGTCAACTGGACTGGTCGGGCTGGCCAGTTGTAAGCATCCTAAGTTTAACGCAAAATGATCATTAGGCAAGTTTCGTATTCTCTGACGGACCTGGAACGCCCATGATTGCGAGGCTAATGCGGGTCAACTTCTTGGAAAAAACAAAAACAAACATAGGCAAATTGCGGCTGAGTCGTTGGAAAACGATACAATACATGAAACTAATAAGATTTCAAAGCTCAAACTTCACCAGTCCGCTGACGGGATATCTGTTTCAAACAGCGAAACTATGGCAAGAGCTGGTCGAACTAACAGAGACATGAAAAAAGCCACGACTGAAGCCAAAAGAAGAAGTAAACTTCAGCTTGAAAATGGTAAATTAAGCTTATGTTTAAAAGTCAATATTCGATTCCCTTCTATTTTCAAACTTCTTATTATCCTGTTTTACTCGTGTGTATATCTGTAAAATGGAATAGCATCACCATCTGTATAATAAGTCTGTATTCAACTTCTCATCGAGTGAAATGTGCATACGTCGATTGTTTTTCTACATGTGGCTGAATGTTTTTATAAACGACGTAAGCTAAATGTACAATTAAACTTATACCTTTCAAATCGCCTTTGTCCATTCCGATTTAACTTCCTCACAGTACAAGGAATCTATGCAGAACTTCAGCCCCGTCAAGAAAGATATTTTTTCACCGAACGTACTTGTTCGGTTTATTTCAAATACACAAAATTTTTCATCCCCTCCGTTAGAAAATGTCAACTGAAAAGTGGTTGTTTTACTAAGGGACTTGTCAGAAATTAGCAGAGGGGAGGGGGGGGGGGTGGGAATTTTAAATTTGGGTTCGGAAATGAGGTGACCCATCCCTGCAATGGGAGGGAAATTTGCTTACCCTCCCCTTGACCTTGGCCTACAATATCATGACCCTCCCCCTCTTGTATAAATGATAAAATCTAGTTCTTGCAATACACTAGGAAGTAATCGGCTCCTGGTATTATGAAAGCTCAAAATATATTTCTAATCTGTTCTTTGTAATGCCATATACATACATTTTAGATGACAGCATTAAGAGTCCGACTCTGATTCTGACAGCTGATTACTCAACTCTCCTGTTTCTCCCAGGCTTTTTTTTACAAAATAAAGAACTTCTTTTTTCTTCTGTGGGTGAACCTCTACATGATCACGGACACATATTTGCATGACCCTTCCCCTTTTAACGGCCCAATTTTCATGACCCCTCCCTTTTCTGCAGTCTCAAAAAGTTGTGACCCTCCCTCTGTTTCCAACCCCGCCCCTCCCCCCTGCTAATTTCTGACAAGTCCCTAAATTGCATTTTTTCGATAACTACCGCATTTCAATGAAGGCTTCCTTAAAGAAGTTATAACGATCACTGAAAATGGACATTAAAATGGCTTCAGGGTTTTACCATGTTTTGAGGATTTTGAGACCATCTTCGCATTTTTATTGAACTCGCTCACCAACCACTTTTCGCTTAATTTCTGGTTTCGCTCGTTGTTTTTCTCGGTGATGAAGAGCTGATCTTCCTTTTGCTGTACGTAACAATGATTTCTTAAGCCTATAAGTAAGTTTGGAGCCCATTGAAACATTAAACCTTTAAGATTTTCCTCATTTTCCGGTAACTCAGCTGCAGTTTTCTCATGTTTGTTGGTCTTGTTGCCAGGAAATCACCCGCATTAGCCTCGCTTTCGCGCGAAAACAAGCACTCGCCCTAGGCCGCCCGGGAATACGAAATTTGCCTATTGTGCCAACATACAAGTCGAGGGATCTGTAGCCAGGCTTCCCCCTCTGAAAAGTACTTAAATGGAAGCTTAAAAATGCGATTTATTTTCAAGCATTCTGGGCATCAAATACACTGTAGAATGTTGCTCATGACCACTGAAGAAAAGAGTACATATATAGACTTGAAAGTTCTTGCTTTCATAAAATCTTACAACCAACTCTCCAAAGACGTAATATAATGAAGAGGTGCTTGGTAAAGAAAATCATGAGAGACAAATAATAAAACTATTATTTAAGACTATTATTTTTTAACTATTATTTATTATTTTTGAGCCTTACATGAGGGCTGTGCACATTAATAGCAATCCACTTGTAGAATATCAAAATCACCAGGTAGCCAAAAATACAAAACAGAAACAGAACCTACAAAACAAAGATAGTAAAAATAAATATTATTGCATCAGTGCAGTTCCACGCAAACAACACGTATAGTCCAACATAGCAGTGTAATATCAACATGCATGACAGTTCTTGGGCCATCTTTTTATACTAATTCTATTGAGAATACCAAAGCAAATATGGTAAATTGCACACTGTAAACTTGGCAGTGAACAAGAAAGGTCAAACAGACACCACGTATCAAGGTGGTTTTTCACCAATATCAAGAGTATACCAGATTTATAGAGAGGTAAACTTGTTTATTAGCTTATCATTTAAATGTTAATTAACTCTCATGGTGTGAAAATTGCCTCCTGAGACAACAATGTCATGAAAACGTACGTTTTAACCATCTATGACACTTATAAAATGTTTTGCTTAGTTCCACTATGTATAATTAGGAAATGTAACCTTGGACTCTTCAATTTACCTGGGGAATAAACTCTGCAAAAATGTTAAGAGGTTTTTTGAAGTGCCTGAAACAAGAAATGACAAAGTAAAAATAAATAAAATAAACAAATAAGTAAATAAAATTCAGGTAACATATTTGTACTGCAGGCTATGGTCCAGTAATGAACCCACATGAAGATTAAAACGGATACTATCCAAGAATTTTCACGTGTCAAGTTGCCTGGAAAAGTTGGGCACATTTCTTTGCATTCATTACACTGGTAAAAAACAAACAAACAAACAAAAAGTCTTCCACTTCCCCTCCTTTAAAACTTCCGTTCCCAGAGCCAATTATGGAGATGTGATGTAGTTTGAACTTTTGCACCTGTAGATGAAATCTATGGTTTTACCATTTTAAAATAAATCCCCAGGGGGGGTACTGCCATATATGGGCTATATATATGGGCTATATGGGTATGTGACGCTGTGAAGGGTAAGGGTTTTCAAGCAGTTTACTCTAGGATAGGGTATATAAATCAGAGTGTTTGGGTCTAGAATAGGGTATCATTTTTCAGGAAACTGATCGGTTGGTTGAAGATTTTCTCTAGACTGGGAAAACAGCTACTCTAGGATAGGGAGATTTTAGGAATTTACTCTAGTATAGGGTCACAAAATTCAGCTGAACTAGCTCTGGTATAGGTCAAGGGTTCCAGGGTTCCAGGGTCCAAGCGGCACATCCCCACCCAGAAATTCCTTAAGTGCCACCCCCCCCCCGGGAATAAATCCTTCACATGGTTCTAATCATTTAGCATGTTGCTCTTACGTTTGAACCTGTGGATAAAAACCTACGGCAAATGAAACTTCTTCAACAGCACTTCCCCACCCCCACGCCCTCTCTTTCATAGAACAAAATTGGGGAAAAGCGGGGTATGGCCATTCTGTGGTTAATACTCACCTGTGATTAAAGAAACTCAGACAGACACCAAACATCATATGCACCACACCCAACACAACAGACATCTTCATTTTAAAGGAGTTGGTAAATGTAAGTTTGTTTGTGGCTATCTGCCAGATCTGCGAAACAAATACTGGTTAGTCCATTAAAAAAAAGAGTACATAAATAACAATAATATTATTAATTAACACACTTTTCTAGCCTGCAAAAACATCTGTTTCTCCTTGCTCTTTGCCGCTGGGGACGTTTCGCGCGAAGGAACGTCTGCGACTCAGCGACAGAAAATCCATTCTGATGATGTAAAATCTATCAGGAATCTGGTCAGAAGCCCTGATTGGTCAACGGAGTAGTTACATTGTTTTAGCTATTGTTTACGAATGACAGTCTTGACAGACAAAAGACAAAAGGCCACAGAGGTCAAATGTAAATGTGAAGAATCTCTAACAAAACAATCAATATTTGTAGAATATAGTCTTCTCTAGAAGAAGTATTTGAGTTTTGCTGGAGCTCTTTGGCAGATGCACACAACACTTTACCAAAATCGACCAGAAGACACATAAAATTGGACAACTTTATATTTGGAACCCCATGACTACCGGATTTATTATGTAAACATTGATTTGCATCATCAGTATCGAATTGCTGCCGCTGAGTCGCAAACGTTCCTGCGTGCGAAACGTCCCCAGCTACGACGAACAAGGAGAAACGGAAGTTTTCGCAGGCTAACACTTTTCTGACGTTGTAAGCACAACAACAGATAGTGATAAGCAACGGCATCTTCATAGCAATTTAATTCAAATTAATGCAGACTGTGTACGTTTAGTGCCTTAAGCACAGAAAGAAAACAGACTTGTACTTACTGGATCTATCCCAAAGTAGTATGGAATGCCATCATATGTTTCCTTTGGATCAAGCATAATAGTCTTGCTTTCCGCATAAGAATTGAGTGCACTTGCGCTAAAAGAATACAAACAACAATGTCAAAAAATTGAGAAAGTGAAGACATAATTTTAGAATTTAATTTTAAATGGTAATTTTTAATTTGCTACCTGGCATTTTTTAAAGATCTTTTTTCGGCAAGAGGGACTAGCATTTAGTGTCTAGAGAGTTATCTGACAAATAGAGTGTAAAAAAAAGGACTTTTAAAGATGGAATCCATCAGGAAATTGAGTTTAAATTTTCAATTTTCAGTGGACAAAAACCTTGTACCAGAATAATTTGCATAACATCGCATTCTTTTTTACATTTTTCAAGGGCTAAAGATTTAATTAGTTATCTGTAATAACACCAAAGAAAATTTATCTAGGCCCCCTCAGGGGTTTCAGTAAAACTACAAGTAGCCAGTGGGTTTGAATAGAGTTACTGACTGTATAAACAAGTCCCCTTTTTCTAAGGGGGGTCTGGGGGCATGCTCCCTCAAAAAATTTTGAAATTTCAAAGCCCCAAAATGCGATTTCCAGCATTCTGGGGAATAAATTGAGGACAAAAGAGCGTGGTTCTTTTTTTCATTCAAGAAAATGTAGCTAATTCATTCAACTTTCGATCTATAAGCCACAGAACAAATGATGAAATCTAAATCACGTACTTTTGAACGTAAACAAATTCTGTGTAAACCTATAAAGAAACTTGGGAAAAACTGACTGAAATATAGCATTCACATGACTAAAGTATAAACCAGGGGGCCCTTATGGAAACACATAATTGCATTTTCATTCAGATTATATGATGCATTTTTGGTTACGACGTTATTCAGAGTAGACTAGTTGCTTCTTCTTTCTAGAAAAAAGTAGCCGACTACTCTGAGCAAAGTAGCTGTCGCATCTCGTCAACTGTCGGTGCTTACTGAGACCCCTGCCACCTCTGTCACCTCTATCACAAAATCCTCAGTCTGCCTCTGTTTATTAAGTAATTTTGATGTGACCATATTTCGCGACAACAATTTACATTGAGGACAACAATTTACATTTCATAGATGAGTTGTTATTTAACATGTCTTTGAATTAAAAAATAAAAAAAAAATGCTTTTTCAAAGGAACAATTAAGTCAAAATTAAGAAAAATGCAACAGCAGGCCTAAATGTCAACAGTAACAACAAAGCAGTTCTCACAATGTCCACAAGCAGTTCATGCTTGCATGTACATGGATAATATTATTGTTCTTGAGTCAATTATTGATCACAATATCCATTTACACTGAAAATTCCTCAGAAAAGTAAAAAAAGATCTGATTTTATGAACGTTTCAGGGGTAATAAACTCGCTCTTTCTTGATTATGGACATCATGTGAGTCACTTAATTTTCGCACCATGCTATGTTAGCGACACTCATTGTTAGCGTCAATTTAATTTTGCAATTTTTTTGTATTGCGAAAGTCATGAAATTAATGTGTCGCGACTACTTCATGTAATAAGGTATTTACAAAGCTTACCTAATTGCTGGCCACTTTACATCGAGATCCCATGAAGATCCAAAGATGTTGAAGGACTTCGAGAAGCAGTCATTATAAATAAGACCAGTATAGACAGCAAATAAACCCATCAACAAAATAATGTATCGACCTTCAAACATGGTTTCAAAGATCTGCCAAGGAAAATAATTATACTAAGATATTAGTTTCCTGCAGCACAAAACTAAAGGTTGAGAGTGTTCATTGGCAGGTATCTGCAAACCATGTCAGGGTAGAAAAATTATATAAATAAATAAATAAAAGTTATGGTAAAGATTATGAAGTTTTGAATATTACGTGAAAATCATATATATGAACTGTGGAGTGAAGAATTAAATGAAGGATGATCATCGCAGTTATATACGCATCATCATCCTTTCACAGGTTTATAACGAACCAATTCAACGACCTGCTCCCAGTTGGCTTGTTAACGTTAGCTTAATTGGTAGAGTGCTGCACTGGTATTCCGCAGAGGTCAAGGGTTCGAATCCAATACAAGCCTGAATTTTTTTCAGGCTTTCTGTTCACAACTGCAAAAGTTGCGTATGTAACTGCCATGATCATCCTTCATTAAAGTAATAACTATAAAAGTAATTATAATTATCATAAAAAAATCTCCAGGAATCCTTTGAGGCAATTTTGTAAGAAGCTTTATAACTTTGACAATTTTATATGTAGAAGACTGTCAGACCTGAACCTGTTGTTGTTTTCTTTTCAGAAAGAGCAATTCGTATCTATTTTTGTAAATATGCACTTTATTCATCAGCTTGTGCCACAACTTAAGAATCAGCTGTAATAGTTGATTTTACTTTCTCTTTGACATGATTTGTATGTCACTGGACATGATTTGTATATCAAAAGGAGCAATCAATTTTCATCCATCAATTTCAATAAAAGCAAATGGAGTCACTTCTCACTATAGTGGACAACCATGAACCGTGACTTCGTCGTATAAATATGCGGCACTGAAGAAAGACGAAAAAGCTAGCTTTTTTTTATCAAATTATTTCAAGGTTTAAATTCGAAGCTTTATATAGTGTAAACTAGTTATAATTTACTTTTACCAGTATCACTTGTAATAATAATAATAATGATAATAACAATAATAATAATAACTTAAAATAAAAAAAAAAAAACACTCCGACTTTCAATAATTTGGGACCTTAAATTCCCCCAGAATCAATAAATTTATGCCTTCCATTCAAAAACCAGTCATTTTGGCTAGAATCCTCATGGGCAAGGGCTTCTCTTTGTAATGTTTTTCATGAGTTTACTCAACACAATTTGTTCTGCAGCTTCACAAATCAATTTGAGTTACTTTCATCAACAGCAATAAACTTGCCTCTCCTCCATTGAAATTTTTCAGTTTCTTCTCATTATACACCATCCACAAAGCAAACAGGAACATGATCAAGCCATGGCCACAGTCCCCAAACATGACGGCAAAAAGGAACGGAAATGTGATGATGGTAAACAGAGCTGTTTGTCGGAAGAAAGTAAAAAAAAAAAACAATTAAATTTATTTGCAAAATTGAATGAAAAGTTACTTACATAGACATTCTAAAAGTCCTCTATATTTTTCCTGGTTGGTTATTCTATTTTAAAGGACTTTTGATACCTGTCTGGCATGAAATTCACCAGTCGAAACTCTACATGTGACATCATGACAATTGACCAATAGCACAGTGAATGATATTTCACACCGCTCCAGCCACAGCATATGTCAATCATTCCCCCCCCGTGCATTTATAATATGATTCAAATCCATTCAGGTGAAACAAGTCAACCTCAAGACTTTGTCGCTAGCTCCATCCCTGCACGATCTTGTGCATTGAAGCTCGCTTCGCTCACTCTTAAGAACTTAGTTTTGAGAGGTCGACTTGTAGCAAGTCTACTACTTACAGTGTAAATTAAGAATTTGGAAATACACTGTGCACACTTTGAGTATCAGTGGTCTACGTTTAAAAACCAATATCTGCTAATCTTCTGTACCTGGGTTAACCTCTTGGTAATTAGCCACGCCATAAGCATCTACGATGACTTGAAACCCCTCTGTAAACTTGTTGGTCCTGTTAAAAGTTGGAGGTTCCTGCTTAGTAGCCATGCGATTCAGAATGGATGGTATGGCAGCACCACTGTGCTCTGTGCCACGACGTAACGCTTGCTGAATCCTGTCCAAGTCACTCACAGGACACCAACACTCGGCAATGAGACACTTCTGAGTCACATCCAGATTGAACATGTTCATAGTGTGGTAAATGGCCTTGATCTTCTTTACCTAGAAATGAGAATATTAAATCAAACACTGAATTCTCCAGTCTTCTTATTTCGACATTAATTCAATACAGTATACAGTAAAACTTCTATTGATAGGGCTGCACTTGCCTTTTTAGCAATACATTTTAGTTTTCCGACCACACAATACAGACTGTGATACAAAGGCAAAAGTGTTCAAAACAATGTCAGCCAGGGAATGAATGGCTGTTATGTTGCTCCCCAAAAATGTGTTCCTACAGTTGAACCCCTATGACACCTTAAGTGGCTGCCGCTTCATAGGAGTTGGCTGCTTAATAAGGTTCGTCAGGATTAGGTCTGAAACTTACTTGAAACATCAATTTATTCAAATGTAAGCATACTTTAGACTTTTAACATCATTTATTCTGTTGCACATAATGAAATGTTTAAAAATCACACAAAACCAATTTTAAGAAAATCTCAACATGAACACTGCATTTACATTTTGAATATTTTTACAGTCGGTTTAATTGGTTAGTAAACATGTAAGGTTCCATGCAAAGAGAACTATAAACATGTGTTTAAATGCATTTATCAGTTGTCACTTTGTACTTCGGCTCCTTACTGCCATTGCCTTATCAAAAAACAAAGCCAGACCCATGGTTATTTAATATTGGGTGGTGACTTAATAGGGGTCAAAAACGATAAAAGACCTTCATCAGGGTGACCAAAAGGTGGCCGCGGTCTCTTATAAGGGGTAGCTTCTAAACAGGGGTTTTAGCGGAGCAGGCCAGCAAAGCTCAACGAGAAAAAGGGGGACAGGGATTTAGAGCAAGAGATAAAAAACAAAGGAGGCATTTTTTTGTTAGAGGAACAACTTGAAAATTTTGTAGTGGCGGTGACAAAATGAGAAATGCTAGTGGCCACCAATGCAAGGTGAAAATGAAAGGCAGTGAAAAAAAGTCAACGCGAACACGTACAACATTTCCTCCATAAAACGTGTAACTAAGACGTTTCTGGAAGTTTCACATTGTAGTCGTGCAAAACAATGGCAACAAAATGTACAAAAAAAGTTTGCTGCACGTGCAAAGTTGCTTTTGCTAATTAGACCTATTGTTGTTTTTCATCGTTTTCCGGCGTTGCATGCCTTTGCCGCTTAGCATTACATGATTTTATATGTTGTTTGAACAAACTATGGGTGCGTTTGATTGGGAAATCCGGATTTAGATTTTCAAAATCTAAATCCGGATTTCTCATGAACAGCGGTCTTCTTTTTCCTAATTATGCGTGCGCGTTCAAGACTGCTGTTCTTAAGGACAGTTTTTCAAATCCTTTTTCGGATTTCCCAATCAAACGGTAAAAATGAAAATCCAAAAACAGATATCTCAGCTTTGAAATCCGTTTTCAGATTTCGCATTCAATTGCAAATCCGAAACCCGGATTTTAAAATCTAAATCCAGATTTCCCAATCGAACGCACCCTATAAATATTATCAAGAGCTTCCCCTTTAGCCCTGGCTAAATCTATACATTATTTATAGTATTTAAGTGAAAATATTTTCGGTATTTTGACAACTAGCCACAAGATAAGGGGTTGCTGCTTAATAGGTGGCCGCTTAATATGACTGTAGTTACACTTAATAAACAAAATCAAAACTCTACCAAAGCAGACTGTTTTAGTGACCCTTTGGTAAAAAGCCAGTCTTTCCTTCCTCAAGGGGAGCTGCTTACAACAGTTTTAAGCATGGGAGACTGACATTGTCTAATACTGAATAACATTGTAGTTACCTTGATAAACCACTGATTAATGTTCTTGGCCACAGTCAACAACAGGCGATGACGGTGATCACGAGTTTCATTGAGCACCTACCAAAACAAGACTAGTAAATTAATGTGAAACAATGGAATCGATATAAAATGTTGCAGATAAGAGGAATACAATACACTCCCCTGATACATGATAAACTTATTTGCACTAAGCTTGGTCACAATATAGGAGGGTACTTTCCATCCCATATAAGGGTATGTACATTAGAGAGGTTAAGCATTCACATTTACATCAAACGGCAAATGCAAAATTGCACCATGTGGCCAAGTTTCCCCTTTACTTGTTATTTACTATTCATTATTTCGACACATAAATTAGTAGTTTCACGCATTTTGTTTTGTCCAAAAGAATAATGTTTTGAGCTGTTTTTATCTGCTCAGTTTCTTTTTATGAGAAACTCTCAACTTGACTTTGCGGTAATTTGCAATGACAAAGCCCCTTTACTAACACGCATTTCAGTCCAATGCTGTGCTCCAAGGAAAATTGAAGGAAGCCCAGTGCTCCGAACCTGTAAAATCAAGGGTGCCCAGCATATGATTTGTACTAAAAATCTGAGATTTTCCAGTTGCCCAGGAGCAAAAGTTGGGCGCCAAGGGCCACCGGGCTCTGCCCACCTACCTTTCCTTTCATCTAATTGCAAGATCCTAAAAGTTTTCCTAAAAACTTATCCCACCAAAGGGAAGGCTACTAAATGCCCAGTAAGAGAAAAAAAAAGTGAGGTAAGAAAAACGAAAAAAAAGAGGGAAGGAGAGAAAGCGAAAAGAATAAGTCAAGACTGCTGTGTCACTTTTAAACCCAAAAACTATCTTGAAATTTTGCTTTCTGCCAATGCCCGAACTTCGCAAGCTAGTATTTTGCATCTAGCTCAGAAAGCCGTGAAGTGTACAACCTGTAAACAGCTTTGTGATAAGTTTTAGCTCTTTATAGCACGGCAGTGACCAGACAACCAAAACCGCTCAACCAGCTTTATAACATGTTTTTTGGCAAAGTCTCCTGGGGCAAATGGGTTAAATACTTTGGGCAGCAAAAGAGAATAAAGTAACAAAGTGGATGATGATCAATGTTACCTGTAGTTCATTCATTATTTGGAGTGCAGATTTAATGGTGAAGTAGGTATTTTCCATACTTACATGTTGAAGATCTTCAATCCTTGTGTTAACCCCTATAGCCATTTCCCGTCTCTCTGCTGCTGTGTCGGGACAGGGGTACAGTGTGGCTCGAAAACTAGGAAATAATTCCCATTACATAGATTTGATTATCTAAATGAATCTGAAGGTTGCTACTACTAAAAGTAATACCACAAAATCATCGTCTATGAAACCCCCTAAGGTGGGGGCTCATTCATATCAAGCCTATTTGAGGTGGGGCTTAATAGAGACAGGGGGCTTATTTGAGAGAATGGCCTATTTAATTTAGTAAAAAGGATGGTATCAGCTGTCCATTAAAAACTACAATACAAAGCAGAGAAGCTCAAGAACAAAAAGGTTGGAGGTCATGCAGCTGAGGATAAGAATCAAATCTGAACTTCCAGCTGGTAAAGAACCCATACCTGTTATTTCCCCATAAAGCTTTACAGTGGTGATAGATCATACAGTCGCTCATTTAATAGTGAAGAATAATTGGGGGGGGCTGGCTTTGTGTCGCTCTAAAACATTGTGGTATAACTTCATCGAAGTGAATTAATCTTATTTTCTTTAGTTTTTTTTAGGGTTTCCCTAACAGCAGGCAGTCAAACAATTGACAAGATACATGTACCTTGGACATTATTGGGCTGGCTACTTGTTGATTTTTGTTTAATGACTGGAAGACAGATTATTTATTAGTGACAATGATAATTTTTAGCAGGAGTGTCTGGCTAACTATGCTGTGATCAGACCTTTAATTTCAACTCTGTACACAATGTGTCTCACTGCCTACTATTGCAATGTATTTGACATTGATTTCCATTCTAAATATTGAAAAATTATCTATCACACTGGACTGTTTTTAAGTCGATGAAAAATTCACTTACCCCTCACATATCTTCTTTACTCTGCTCTTAAGCTGATCTCCTTGAAAGAAGATGATGAAGACACATTTATTAACCTGGTCTCCTGTGCTTGGGTCTTCAAGAGGAGTCTCAATCTCAGCTTGTTTAAAGAACACATTCCCACGGCAAGCACGCCATAGAAGGCGCTCAAATGTAGGCACTCGCTCACGAGCTATCACCCCAGTCACAAACCTGTGGAGTTTACAAGCAAAATTAGTTACAGACCATTAAACACAGAGACTGCAATACACCCAGGGCTGTGCTCTAGCAACGCCCGGTGGCCCCTGGTGCCTAACTTTTGCCCTAGGGTGACTAGAAAATCTCAGATTTTTCACACAAATCATATGCCGGGCACCCTAGATTTTACAGTTTCAGAGCACTGGGCGCCCTTCAATTTTCCTTAGAGCACAGCCCTGTACACCATTCAACTTTTGCTCCAGGCCAACCAGCAAAAACTATGTTGGGTATCCTGGGTATAGAACAGGAGTCTTTTACAAGTAGAGGTCCTGACTGAACACAGATCTACTTTTTAGTAAGGTATTACTACATTCAGTTTCTACATTATGACCTGTGAAGTTACTCCGAGTGGCTTAGTCAACATAATTCAGTGAACATTAAGATCAGACGTGTCAAGTGGTTCTTGTAAGAGGTTAAAGACAATAGAAAACATCACCATAAAAAGTCTTCGCTGTCACTTACCCTAGTTGAGTTGCTGTGGCTGTGGCCGATCCTCGCGTTTCTTCTCTCAGCAGAGCTTGCATATCATCAGTGCCCTGCGGTTCGTGGATCTGTTGTTGATTATGCACGTGAAGTTCGGCCTAACCAAAGTTACCAACACAACACTGTGTTCTAATACTACCCAATATTCACAGCTACCAAATACATATTCTGAAAAGGCTTATACAATCATACTGGCTACCATGGTAATTAAATTTTGGCAGGGTTGCCGATTTGGTTAAAATAAATAGATTTTGAAAAAGGCGTAGCAACCAACAACTATTTAATTCTTTGTTTTCATATAATCTTGACAAAAGTCAAGCTACATCGAGGAACATGGATAGAAAATTAGCTCGGGCTTGATTCTGTGGTAAGGTTACAACTAAAGGATTCTATCCTTTAATTGCCCAAATAAAACTTACATGTAAACCACATATAGGATTGACGCACAAAAGTTATGCTTTTCTGTTACAATACAGCTGCATGTATTTGTATTTTACAGATACTGATGTATGATTAAAAAATGGCCATTTAAAGTGTAAGCAGTTTGACCTTCCATATAACCTGCATAATGTGAACAGACCTAGGCCTGTGTTTCTGAGGTACTGTGATTGGTACAATAGATTCTAGTGGAAAAATAAATGATTGAACACAACAGACAAGAATAAAGAACAGGTAGATTTTGTTCATAAACCAAATCAACATTTGATTATTGAATCGAGGTAAATTTGACCTTTTATTCATTTTATGAATGGATTATTGAATCAAAAATTTTTCCATTAATAACTTAGTTTGTTAGCTTTTTCTGTCCATTTTTCTGTCCATGAAAAGGTTATCATCACTTAGCAACTGGTCTAAGTTAATGGCAAATTAAGTTTTAAAAACATACAGATTGAAAGAGCATCACCTCTTCAAAGAAGGTCTGTGTCTTGCGTAGAATGTGTTTGAGTTCTGTCAACTCCAGGAAGCTTTTCATCAGAGCTTCATAGTTAGCATTGCTGTCTTTCATTTCATTCTCAAGCTGTTCAAATTGAGCCTAAAAAATAATAGTTATTTAAATAAGTTAGACAAAAGGAAATTTTGTTGATGACTGCACATTTTATATCTCATTTATGTCAAGGTTATTAACTAACTCACCTCAAGGTCGATCATTTCTCTTGGATGAGGTGCCTCGGGATTTTCTCCAGTATCACTAACATGGATATCAGCCTTTTCAATTTCTTTTTTCAAGAATCCTGCCAAAACACATTGTAAATCATATCAATGTAGTTGCGAAAAATATATAGAGTTCTGAGTAGTGATGTTGATTACAGAAAAAGAGTTGTAAGAATAATCCCCGGCTATATTTGTAACGTTATCAGCATGAAACAAACATAATAAAACATTTTGATTCCTTGAGGGAATATGAATGTATGGCATCCTACACCTATATATGCAAACAACAACACAGCACTCTTAAATTAAGGGTCATATGTTTTTGCACACACGTTTACACCCAACCTAAAAGAGGCCATTACTGAGTTGTCTTACGCCTCTGTTTCAAATTGAGGCTAAAAGTGCAAAGCCACTGACAAGAAAATGACTGTTTTATTCTCATGCAAATAAAACTCACTTTCAGAAGAAAGGTTTCGCACTTATGGTAGCCTTGTTTTGAAAGCAACAGTTTTGCAACTAGTAATAGCCTATTGGTATTCACTTACTGAGTTTTCTTTCCATTTCTTCACATCGTCTGACTTCGTTGACAAATTTGCGTTGAAAGGCATTGACATCCGGATTAAGCTGACAAGAAAATCATCCGTATAAGAAAGAAAAACAGTGACAATAAACATTTTATGGTCAACCATTTCCAAGATGGACATGATTGGAATCTGCATTGTGTGTCTATCTTAGAAAGATGACTGCCTTACACTGTATCTGTCTATTTAGGGCACACCGACACGATTTGAAAAGTTTCTTCCAATGTCTTTTGTTAGCCATGACAGACAGAAGTTTCTACCTCGCAAGATCAGTATCACTCTCTACTTGGTCAATAAATGCCATTGCAGGGTGAACCCCTGGATCATCTGCTGGGTTTTGGTTCCCAAAGAAGTAGTTGGGAAACAATCTCATTCTTGCTTCTCCAACAGTGGCCACTAAACTACCAAAAAATTTTGGGGTGTACCTGTGCCTAAATTTCTTCAGCAGCTTGCTTTAGATTTCCCATATATTTGTCAGTAATTTTTCCCGGAACTTTCTTACAGACAAATGTATCGAAAATTCAAAAAAGTGGTTCTAGGTCTTCTAGCGCATGTAACGCCCTCAATTTTTTTTCAGTAGAATCCTTAGCAGTAAAGCTTTAGTTTAAAATTCATAATTTTTTTTCAGAACAGTCGTTTTACAGAAGTTATTCAACATTAGATGCTCATACAAACACTGTAATTTCTCACGCGTTTGCCTACTCGTCAAGATGGCGTCGACAACCGTGACAAGGTCTATATTGCCTTTGCTAGGTACAGAGTAGATTGACTTTTTTCTGTGCTGTTGATGCTTGGAGGAAACTTGCACAGTTAGAATAATCATTCCTGTCGAGAATGGCAAACAATTCCTGGGCCTCTTGCAAATTTGTCAGAAGACGTTCTTCCAGCACAGAACAAAGTCAATCTACTCTCATGAGAGTTGGAACTAATTAAATTGGTACGATCTAATTGCATACGATCTATAATGGAATGAAGATCAAGATCCAGTTGCCTAGATATACGATCTAATGGAAGGAAGGTGGCGAGCTAATTACACAGAAGTACGAAAAAATGAAATGAAGATTACGATGTACGATGTTGCGATCTAATAATGCATGATTGATCAATACTTACATCTCGAAATTGCACAAGACCCTACATAAAAAAAGGGGAGATAAGAGGAAACCAGTGTTTAGTCATAAAAGTCAAACAATCAAGTTATCAAAATACTGGAAAAGTAGAGAGCAAAAATAATAAATGTTCGATCAAAACAAGATGGCGGAGATATACTACTCTTTCTTACCAATTCTCCGAGTTCGCTAACGCAGGAATATGCCGCCTCAGCTTGAAGAAAGAGCTGGGCTAATGTCATCTCTTCTGATCTAAAAAGGGATGACATCTTGGCGAGAAAGTATAAGTGTATTTAGTTGACAAAAAGCAAGAAATGATATGAAAATGGATTTCTGGCTCACATCACTAATCTCACATGACCATTACATCAGAGCCCACAATTCCTTGCGGTATTGTGTTCTTCCGAAGGTCACCGACCCCTGTCACCGACGGTTTCCGAAGATTTGAACCACAGGTTTCCTACCTTCATCGTCACGTTTTTCTTCATATCGGCTGTATTTTCTGGCTGCGTTGCAAAATGGCGTCAAAAGCAAAGCCTGCTTTAAAAAATAAGGACCATTTTTTCAACGTTAGAGTCCCAAACTGGCCATATGAAAAGTGGGAATTACCAGAAAGCACAAAGAGACAGGTTGACTTCGAGAAAAATTCATCTCCAGTGCACAACATTCCCGTTTCCGTTGGCCCGGTATTTCAGTCATTTTTGGACAGTTTTTCTCACCAACTTGACATTTATAATAATTGCACAAGTACTGAATTATTAACTCAAGTATCGACCATGTTGAATGACAGCTTATGCGAACTTGGAAAGTCTTACAAATGCTTTGAAAAATGTCAACTCATTCAGGCCGGAAGTGTAGCTGAGAAAACGAAAGTAGAAGCTCTAGACGAATTCGACTTTTTAGTTGTTATGGAGTATTTTGCAGACAAAGAATATTTCGAAATTGTTTTACGGCAGGGCTTGATAAGGATATATGTTAAGGACACATCCGTTATCGAGTTTCTACCCATTGAATGCCAGAATCATTCCGGGAGTATCGAGTTTCTTGATGTTACCTTGCGCTCCAAGTTCATGGAACTGTTTATTGACATATTTGATGAAAGTTTACCATCTGGTTGGAGAAGGGTAACCACTGAGGGCACAACACTATGTGGGTCTGGTATAGCCTCAACACTGCATTTGGTGTGTGAGAAATTAAACTTAAACATAGACATTGACTTGTGTCTGTGTTTACCAGTAAGCGCCGATGACTTTGAGGGGGTTCTTTCCATTCCAGAGCAAGTTAATCCACGATTCACTGAGCACGTTAATGCTCAATTGTTGTTGTTTGGATACATTAATAATATCATGAGGCAGTCACCCCTAAAGGTGTTTGTAATTCTGGGGAAGGCAGACTTCTCTTTTGAAGCTATTTCTACTCGAATCACTGCTCCATTTCTAGAACTTTCTCACTTTCAATCCTTACCACCAGAAGATGGTCGTATTAGAGCCTACTGCACTGCAAAATGCATTTTGTCAGCTCTCCTTCCAGAACTAAGTGACATATTTGGTTGCAAAAGATGTTCCCACAAGCTTGTGAGATCTTATCATATAAAGAATATACTTTTTTTCATGTTAAAGAACTACAAGGCTGATATCCATTGGGAAGAAGACAAAGTTCCCTTGCGAGTTTTAGAAATCTTTTCTGTTTTAGAGCAATGCATGATTGACGATGACGAATCAAGTTATGATGCAGCTGTTTCTAAGTTTTGCTTTCCCGGGACTCTTTACGTGCAGAATGTTTCCAATTTAAGTCAATATTGTAATCGTGAAGGTGAACACAGATACTTTTTCACTCCTGACTCTCACAAGCCCATGTATGAACTCAGTTCTTCACCAGTTTATGAACAATATCTCTCAACTGGCAATGATACAGGTGACACTCTTTTGAATGAGTGGTTTGAAAAGCTAAATAACAAGCCTTGGAACTCCAAACAGCTGCTGCAGGATTTATTTAACTTGTTGAAGAAACTTAATGAAATAATCCATTAACAGTAGCATTCCAAAATACAATCTTTAGCTGGAATAAAACCTTTCAAACCTGAAAACACCTTTTTTCTGATGAAAACTACAAGAGTATCAGAGTCATGACACATTTTGTTTTTGTGTGTGTGGCTTAGCACAACAGCAGAGTATTCACATTAAAATATATTTTTTAATCAATAAGTCAGTTTATTATTATTATTATATTTAGATACTGATATGCAGTGCCATACATCACCTGACATGCAAACATAAATGACTGTCTTTAAGACATGACTGTCTTTAAGACTGTTTTTCCATTGGTAGCCTGGGTAGCTGGCAAAAGCTCTAAAAATTGTGCTGTGTGCTATGTTTTTTGGTCAGCTGATTGGTCAGATGATTAGGAAAACAATTAACATAGTTACCCAATACCCAACTGCCTCAATATCAGGGGTGAAAAAACAAAGCTAATGCTCCAGAAAGGTCCTATTCTCTAGGTACTCCCTCTCGAGATATTTTTAGTACATTACATCCTTGGAATTTAAAGGCATACCAGTAATTATTTTTATACTCTTGGGATACTTATAAGGCTCAGTGCAAACGGATGAAACATTGTTGGCCAACAACTCCCAACATTATTGGATGTTACCTGTTACGTCCCTCTGCATACCCTGTTGCAGGTCGTTGCGCGTTGTTGGAAGTTGTTGCGCAAGGTTTGAAACTGGTCAAACTTTTGAACTATCAACTCCCAGTTTTTTTTTTTGCTCCGTGATCGCTGAAGCATAGCGCAACGATGTTAAATCCATTTGCAAAGCTCTACTATTGGGGCCAAGCATGCCCATTACACATGGTCTACAAAGTCTTATGGGTTGTATCCTTCCCACAATTTAGTGCAGGTCCCAACAATGTTGGGAGTTGTTGCATCCGTTTGCGCACCATTGCCAACACGGACACAACAACCCCCAATGTTCTAGGGCCAACAACATTGGCTGTCGTTTTGTCCATTAATTGCAGTAGCTTAAAAAAAAAAATTCCTGATACTGTCATATCCCATAACAATAAAAACAAAATTTGCCATTGAATTTGTGACATAAAAAAATGTAAAGATCTGAAAACCTTAACAAATAAATAAACACATTATTAAGACATAAATTGTATTAAATTTTGGTCTGTTTTGTTACAACAAATACCTTAAGAGGGATTACCTAGGAAAATTGATTCTATATACGGGATAGCTTTGATCACCCTACCCTTACCAACTTGTAGTTTAGCTTCATACTTTCTTAAACACTTTTGGCCTTTAAGTCCGCTCTCACCCTCAGAATTTCCAATGCCCCCTATGGGACAAATCCATTCTGGAACCACACAATGTAGCACATGACTGTTATTCTTGTGTAAGGTAGTGGCGGATCCAGGGGATAGGCCCGGGGGGCCTGCCTCCCCCCCCTTACTTTTCAACCAAAACTGTGGAACTCGAACATCTTATTCTTCTGTGCTATCTTGAACTGGAACCTTCACAAATTCAGCTTAACACATTGGAAAAAAAAAAAAAAACAATTAAATTAAAGATCCGTCTAGTACTGGTATAGACAAATAAAAATCAAAAGACCTCAGTTGTTATGTGGCACTTCCTCTCTTCCGTTAGGGGCATCAGTAAAATAGAAAATGCAACTACAACCACAATGTACAACAGACTTCTCACATTTTAGCTATCTCTTTCATCAGAATCAGGATCACCATAGGTAATTTGGCAATGTCTGTCAATGTGCTTAAGTAAATTAGCTGAACAAGCAAAACTTTTGAGACATATCCAACATTGCTGCAGGTCCTTTCGTGGTTTCTTTCCTCGGAGGTTACCCTTTTGATCATGTTCCAGAGAACCCTCAACAGCCTCTGTATTAGACTGTGACGATGATGTACAGGTACATTTCAACGACTTTCTGTGCCTAAGGAGGCAGGATCTGAATTTATAAGACATCTTGCAGTGGCTGCATTTAAAAGGCTTCTCCTCTGTATGAGTTGTTTTGTGAGATTTCAATGAAGAAGCTCTTGGAAATCTTGCTTCGCATATATCACACTTGTGCAGGAACCTATCGAGGTGAAGAAGTTTATGTTGTTGCAGCTGAGAGCTTTGCTTAAATTTTTTAGTGCAATGTTCACATTTGTATGGCTTGTCGTTGGAGTGAATTCTTTTATGCAATGCAAGGTGAGTAGATGTACGGAAGTTTTTGTCACATTCCACACAATGATAAGGCTTTTCTCCTGTGTGCATTCTTCTATGCAGCGTGAGATTCCATGCAGTTTTAAAACCATTTCCACAGTGTTCACACTTAAAATGATATTCCTTGCTATGGGTGTGTAAGTGTCGTTCCAGGTTTGATTTTTGATGGAACCTTTTCTCACACTGGTTACACTTAAATGGCTTCTCATCAGTTCCACCATGTATTTTTAGATGCCTGTTTAAGTTCCCTGCTTTGTCAAAGGTCTTCTGGCATTTAGCACATTCAAAATACTTCTTCTCAGGGCAAGGATTCTGCATGATAACAACCTGATGATTTAAAGAAACATATTGATAAGACCATTAATGTTTTACAAAATCAAGGAGGGTACATTTGACAAGATATCTACAAGCCTGAGAAACATAAAACAATTTTGAAACACCACCACTGGACTCCCCACAAAATGACATCCTAGCTATGAATGCAGAAATTGCATACTGATGACTCATCACTACCCAAATCTGGGTATTCTTCTGATTGGTTGAAGCAGGTTTCCCTCTCTGCAGCAGAACCAATCAGAAGTACAGTAGAACCCCAGTAACTCAAACCCTGAAGGGAAGCAAAACCGGACATTCAAGTTAGCGGGGGTTCGAGACATCAGGGTTGATTAAATCTTCAATTTCCCATGTTAATATTGATAGCTTTTAAGCTATAATACTGTTATTATGATTGATAGATACTGATATTTCAACAATTCAGTATACAGTGGAGTGCAAATTAAACTTATCTCATCAGAAATTGTACCATGATTATGCATTTTTTTATAATACAGGGAAATGTCTGTCAAATAAGTGATCTGTTCATTGCTCTTTTCAAAAAAAAATTGTGTGTAGTGTTAGTTTGAGGGATTTTACTGATTGTGCGGCAAGGAAAAGCTAATGGGATGGCATTCTTAGTGAGTTCCAAGAACCAGAATTCGAGTTATCGAGGTAACTTTGGATCAAGGAAGACTAAACCTAGTTTGAGTTAGCGGGGAACTTGAGTTATCTGAGCTCCAGTTATCTGTGTTAAAGTGACAGAAAAGTAGGGTTAAATCCAAGGAAAATGGGACATAGTTCGAGTTAGCGGGGAGTTTGAGTTATCTGAGTTCTCGTTAGTGGGGTCCTCCTGTACTAAACATACATGTACCTGAGCAGTGACATGTCGTCATCAGTGTGTGAAATGACCTGAAATGTCTGCATTTATTTCACTGACACGATCTTGTGGAGAGAAGGTTTCATTTAAATGGATGTAACCGGTCGTTTTATTTTTCAAGAAACGGAACTTCCCCTCTCCCCCGACTCTCTTTACCAGCCTCCCAGGTTGCCCTGCGCGCAGCAACATTGCTGTTAACAGCACAACAAGCATAGATCTACCAGTTTTTGTCACACTTTTTCTTTTCACGTTATTTCACAGATGAGTATTCCGCGCCTACTTTGGAAAAATTAACACAGATGACAGTGGAAGACAAAAACAACTTCGCTTCGCGCGCTTTCGCGGGCAATAACTTCGCGAATTTTGCTACAATATAAACTTACCTGAGCCTTTTCAGACGAACGGCAAGTTATCCTTCACTTCAGTCTTGTGGCCTGTAGAAGGTATTGGTTATAGACTCCTACATTCATTAACGGAGTTTACTGTAGACAGCTACTGTAGTTGTTTTATTCACGCTTTCGACCATTCGACCATTGATTCCTCCAAGTTCTGGCTCACGATGGAAATAAACCCACGTGACCGGAAATTCCGTGTTGTTTTTGAGTCGTCTCCGGTTCTCTCGCGGTCAGAGCTGTTATGTTTTGACCGTTTCCTGGCGAACACATCATTTGCAAGCTGTATGTACATATTACATAAATGTGCTTTTTTAGCAAAACAGGTGCATAATCAGACGGTGACAAGGCAAAACCACAAGCCGAAGTTACCAAGGTTGGCAGTGAAACATAAAGTAAAACTCTACATTCACTGAAATTCAGTTGAAGGATTGTTGAAGATCGGCGAATTCTCCTTATTGGAGCCAATTTGGAGCCTTGGTGCGGTTGGCTTCTAATTTTAAAAGATAAGTGTAGATTGAGCTAAGCTTACTTTTTTTTTCCTGTCATGGTATAAACGGAAGGCTAGGTTTAATCTTGTATTGATTTGAAGAAGTCGTTGGCATGGAAGCGTTGAGGACATGTGCTTACCAGCTTAATAATGAAGGTGTAATTTTAAGAAAACGATAAACTGCGAAAAATATTTAAACATCGATTAGCGATGAACCGAAGAACAAGCATAAAATTACAGCTTTAGCGGATAATGGGACAAGACCTTGCCAAGCAAGTTCAACCGAGGAACAGTGTTCATTCAAATAGCTCTGTAGTCCAAGCCCCACAGCCGAAAGATTTATACAGCAAGAAGTGTCCATTGAACAGATGTAAGTGTGCACGTTTGTCACATTTTTATGTTATTGATATCAAATGTCACCCCTGGGAATCCGCACAAAAATATCATTTGCCTCCGGGAGAAATCTGCAGGCAGGCTAGACGCATTTTCCTTACTAAAGTCTTCCTTTTTAATCGCAATCAAGTTCTACCATCACCATATACATGTATAGTTATATTATTGGAAGACCGAAGGCTAAAATGAAGAAACAGTGATCGAAAGCATCCTGACAGTACACTTCACTAAGTAAATATAAAGCCATCATTTCACTTCTAGGAGCTAAATATGATTATGACTCTAGGGGTCAGATTTACTCTTTGGCTAGGAACTTAATGATTATTTATAGAGGTCAGATAATGACAAAAATATAATGTTGTGTCTGATCCAAGCCACCTCAGATGACTTATGTGTGCTACAGTCTAGAGTCCACTGGTTGAGTCTTAAAGCATATAGGTCGCTCTATTTTGCAGATTTCTTGTCAGGGAGAACCGGTACATGCTTACTTATATTATTTTGTTTCTGAGAAAAGTCAGTCCTCTGAAGTTCCAAAAGAAGGCAATTCAATTTTGTCCCTGATAAAGGTTAAGGAAATTACCTTTTTTGATTTGAGTATTAATACAATTAATATTCTTTGAACTTCTTGTCTCTTCAACTAGTTTCAGAAAGTGAAGTTCAAAACATGGTGAATGTATACCATAAATTAGCAGCCCTCTCTCCCCGGGACAAGTATATTGACAGGAATACTTTGTAAGTTGTATATATAATAATATATTTGTTAGATATCTTTATTATATTAAATAGATATTCAAAATAGTTATACCAGATGGGTATGTTATTACTTGTTTGCCTGTCAGTCAAGGCAGCTGTGTTCTGAAAAAAATTAAGGGAGCCCAGTGCTTTGAACCTGTGAAATCCAGGGTACCTTAAAGGAAATGACTTTTGTGAAAAAAAATTAGGATTTCCCAGTCGCCCAAATAAGAGCCAAACAAAGATAGGCACCCGAGGGACCAGCAGGTGCTGCTAGAGCACATGGGGCCCTGTCAGTTCATCAAAATAAATGTAATCACTCAAATTAATCAAGAATTACAAGTATCAATAATTTCTCTGAGTTTTTTACTTTTGTTTATTATTAAGAGCAGCTACCGGTAGCTAAAATTTATCCTTTTAGAAAATTTTATGTTCAGATGTAGAAGGAATCATTAAGATTTGTTGGGTGTTCAATTATTAATTTGAGTAAAACTCTGTTTTGTGCCAAAGAGAAACCTGTGATAGTGCAATGCCCAGGCTGGTTTCAGTTAGGACAGTAAAGCAAAAAAAAAAAAAACGTACATCCATTTCTTTATGAAAACTGGGATATTAGCCATTTGTACATGGTACAATTAATACCATTGTTTACCAGGAGTGTTTGGGACCGAGAGGCTTTTTAACTAAGGAACTGTGCTCTGTCCACAGTTACGTCCCTAAGGTAAAGAGGCACTTATACATTTTATTTGTCCACCAAAAATGATTTATGGTGGAAGAATAAAATGTGGGGAAGCTGTGCCCCTTTACCTCAAGCATCCTTATTACACATACATGTAATGACTCAATTAGTGGCTGTAAGAGTCAGTGGTTTTATGTCATCAAATTTAATTTTACTTTGTTCTGTCGGTGTGAAATTTTTAAAAAGAATGAAGGGGAGATAGGGAAAGTGGATGCAGCTATATGCATCCCTAATGTTGATGGCCTGAGTTTATTGATGAAAAAGAGATAGAGCATTGTAATATCCTTTTCAGCTTGCATTACTTTCCATTGGATGGCGTCTTGGCTGGAAGACTGTTTGCAGCATTTGATAAAGACAAAAATGGTCATATCGATTGCGATGAGTTTTTAGGTGAGAAAACCATACATTGTAGCTGTAGCGATTTAAGCATTCATCAAAATTAAGTAAAGGACCAAGCCCCACTCTCTTGCGTATAGGGGGTGTCTCCAAGCCTGGTTTTTACTACAAACAGGTTTAAATTTGCTTTGGATTCCTGTTTCTTTTTCTGAAGACAGTGTAACAGTTACTGTTGATTTTACATGTAACTCAAGTCTGTGGTAACTATTTGAATATCAAAACATGCAATTTTGAGCTAGAATTAATATAATAAATTGATGATATTCCTGCTAATTATGTAAGCTTTCTGATTTTGAATTTAAATTGTAGTTGAAGAGGTCTCGATCTGTGGAATATAAAGGTCCTAAATTAAGTGACTCATGATTTAAGCTAATGAATTCTTCCAGTGATTCATATTGGAGGATTTGTTGATATTTGGCATAAATACTGGTCATGGGTGATATTTCAAAATTGTTACACGTAATTTCAGAATTTGGGACAATTTTGAAATGTCACGAGTGGTATTTAAAATGCCAAATACCACGTACAAATCTTGCTAATATTTGCTTATACTACTACCCGCAAAAGGTTTGTAATTTTCACATGTGGGTATTTCAAATTAAGCTGAAATACCTGCACTACTCTAAGCCAATCAAATAATTGTAGAAATTTCTCATGTAGTAATATAAAGTATTATACATTTAAGAAATTTAAAGCAGAACCTTGCAGGTCACTAGAAGTCACTCAAGTCACTTTTCCTGACATTTCTTCATTTTCATACTTAAAGCCTGGTCTATCTTAACCATATTGTAAGGAACCCAGCCAAGGAGTTCTCTGTTGCTAAAATGTAGTTATGGTAACATATTTACTTTTATTAAATGTTTTAATATAGGAGGTCTTGCACTGTGTTTGAGAGGTTCAACAGAAGAAAGAGGGCAGATCATCTTTGATATGGTAAATTTAGCTAAGTAGTAAACATATTAATTGTAATTATACTACATGTACCAGGGTGCAGAGAAAATCATTTTTACAGCTCAAGCCATTCGGGCAACCTGAAGCTAGCATTTACTAGCCCAGACTTCATTTCAACTAGCCCCAAAAGCTTTTTGACAAGCAGAATTGATTTCACAGTTCTTCTATTATTCGAATTCCTCAAAAAACATCACTTGCCTGTCGGGCAAGTTAAAAAGTAACAGAATTCACTAGCCCGATAGCAAAATTCACTAGCCTCAGGCTAATTTTGACACTACTTTCTTTGCATGCTGTGTACATGTAAATTGCCACCATTCACAAACTAACACTGTAGTTCATAATTTATTTGAATAACTATTAAAATTAAATGGGGGAATCCACGATCAGACGAGATTTTGTTTTCTGATTGGTTTCCTGAGTGGGCAAGCTGGGCTTCCTACATCAATCCCACACTGAAAGGGTTCTCTTTTTGGCTATGATCCAACCAACCTTAGTCAGTTGCTAAATAAATACAAGTTCGCTCAAGATCACCGGGTATTAGCATAATTCTTTTTTCTTTGTCTGGGTACATTAAAAGCGCAAGTAAAAGTAAAAGCTTGGTCAAATACCTTATAGTCATGCATGCATCTTGTCCTCACCCATGATCAATTCATTATGCATCTCAGTTAATCTTATTGCTTGATTTCTTGATGGCAGCTTATATCTTGGCTTAATTTAATATTAAGCGTGTAAATTTCTGTCATCATTGTTCACAACACTTAAATGTCAAAGGGTGGACACCAAAATTTTGATGAGTCAAACTTAAAGACCCCTCAAGAGTGAATTTAATTAAGTTTAGCATCTGAGTGAATAAACAAACAATATTAATTTGGGTCACAAGTGCAAGCTAATTATTGTCCAAATTTGGATACGTTTGTTTTGGGGAACTTGGGTCATGAAAAATTTGATGTCTACTATAAAATAAAAGGCATATTAAATATTTGGCATTGCCTTGTTATTTTTAATTGATTAATGTGAAATGTATAACTTTTTTTCTTTCTTTTTCTTCCTATGTTCATCTCTCGGCTATTGTTGCCCTATACAGTTCAACCTTGATGGTAAGACATAGTGACCTGCTTCGTATTAAATAATTGTTGAGTTGAAATCTAATGGATATTTGAGTTCTAAAAATATTCTTTAAAGCTATTATTAAGGTTCATTTATTTACAATGTAGTAAGTTTTAGGGTACTTTCCATTGGTTAGAAGGGGCTGGCCAGTCACCTAGCCTATGTTGAAGAGGATGGAATCAGGGAGGGAAACAGCTGCTCCTTTTCTTCCTTCCTATCACTTTTGTTTGCACCTGCCACAAAGGCTTGGCCAGACCGACTTTCATTCTGTTTTAATAAAAAATCCCTCTTTTGATCTTGACTATCCAGCACAGATCAGTCTATTTTCAAATGGTATGCTTGGCAGTGGTTATTTTTGGGGAAATTTTGAAATAGTTGACTAATTTTTTATTGTGAAATATGACAGGTCTGGGTAGTCTCCATCACAGCTGCTCAGGCCTATGGTCTGGCAGGCCAGTTTGGGTTTTTAGCAAAAGCGCCGTAGTGAAAGTTCTATTATAGTGGTGTATTTACAAAGAAACAAACACCTGGTAGTAAAGTTTATTTAGAATCATCGCTGCATTGAAGTTTGACTTCGAAGCAGGTCATTCTTAATGTATCTGATTTCTTTCTTACTGTCAGTTGTTGGTCAGAAATATTTAGTACATTACTTTTACTAGCAAGTTGTCTCTTTTTTAGGAAGTGATGGAATCAGTGTTTCGGAGATATCCGTAATGCTCAAGTCTTTATTGTCAGCTGCTGCAAGGTAACCATAAAGCTCGTCTCACAACCCTAGCACACATAAATGTTATAGGATGCTAAGGAACCCACACACTTTTCGTAAAGAGTACAAAATTGTAGGGTGCCTCACAGTCCAAGGTGGCATGTGGTGGTCTATCTTTCATGGAGGGAAGGACTGTTGAAGGGCCTGCAGTAATTGACTTCAAGCACTGTTGCGGCTGAGCCGTGACCCTGCCAAAATTGGCAAACCTAAGTATTAAATATACTTGCAGGCGACAAGAAGAGCCCAAAATCCTAATCTCCAGGTTGTTATTACGCATGCGTCGCATGTATTTAGCCAGCATTCCTTTGGACTTCCACTAAGAGTGAATGGAATGCACAGAACGCAATTTGATCAGGCGTCTTGACCTTTTACCCCTCGTAATCTGATCATGCGTGTTTTGACCATCTGTCACTTGCAACCTATGCAAAGCACAGTATTGGAGCCAAAGCGTTTTGACTTTTGACCGTTGTCGGCACTCCGTAACCCCCTAGGCTTTTTGTCCACGGTTGGTCACATTAACAACTTTCTGTAAACACGAAAACAATTCTTTTTGGAAAAATTGTTTCTGAATCAGTAGGAACTGAAAGAGCATACAAAAATTAGGTATCCTTTTATTTTTAGGCTTATATCTTAGAAGTGGAGACTGCAACGGCCGACGAAAATGAAAGAGATAATTATTTTGTAGGGGTGCCGCACCTTCACGGTTGTGTGATTTTCCAAAGAAATCCTTGTAAATTTTGAAATTTTCAAACTGTCGTAAAATCTTTTAAACATTATACGGCTCAATTATTCTATTATGAACAAAAGAAAATTTGAGCACCGTAATGCGTATTAGGGACAATTTTAATACAGTTAATAATGAATCAAAGTCATTTTCATGTGAATGGTTCTGTTCTTCGCTTCATTTTGAAAGTTCACTGAAACCCTCTACTCACTTTTTTTTTGCATTATTTAATCACGTTGTATTATTTGAAATAATTTATTTGTAGAATTGTACATGTCAGGGACAGCCAGTCTCCGGGTAAGTCTTACCTATACTATACTACCAGCTATTACAGTCGAAGCTCTCTCTCCTTGCGACCACTCTCATAAGCGACCAGCTCCTGGTTACGACCACCTTTGAGAAACTGCCTTTGAATTGTGACCTAAACATTTATATTGAAAGCTCGCTCAGAGTCTTATTCATATAAATCAACGCTTTAATGAAACCGCACACAGCGCTAATGTTTCGTTGACAAAGATATTGTGCAGGACTTGCAGTGTTATATTTGTAAAGTTCAAGGTTATTTCCTTATAGTGCCCACTTAGCCTGCATGACAACGACCACTCACAGAATTTTTAAAGAGTTTCTGATGGTCTTGTAAGCGGGGCCACTCTCTATTGTTCTACCATGCGGTCGCTCATTCTCGTAAGCGGCCAACTTTAGTTAAGACCACTTTTTCCAATTTCCCAGGTGGTCGCTTACGAGAGCTTCGACTCTACGTCCTTTTAACAAGGTCTCTTATACCTCTTTTTATGATATAAAAGTACCCCATCCATGTGGTGTTTTTGGCAAGAAGGGTCATCTTTTGGCCCGCAATACGTGAGCAACGAAATTACTGTGTGCTGTACCTGAAATGAATTATAGTTACGATTTGCGCAAGAAACAGATGATCTCCCTAATGGTCAAACTAATGGGTTAAGAAAGAACATAAATAAGAAATCATGGTTAAACAGGGATTTGATCCTTTCCGATTTCAAGACGAAAGGCTGTCTACATTTGGGCGAATCAAACCAACTGGAAAACACGTCCAAATCAGCACTTGAAATACCTATATTTTGATGTTTCGCCGTATTTTTACTCTACTGGTCCAGGTGCTACTGATTCCGTGAATATGTCAGAAGTAGACTCTGTAGTGGAAAACTTTGTCAGAGATGCCCTCAGTCAGTGTGATCACAGCACGGTAGGTGAACTTTCAAACTGGTTCATTGGTGAAGATTGTTTTCTCGGAAGAAAGTCCTATATACATGAAAAGCATTCGCAAGGCAGCATCAGATTCAATTTTAAAATTCTCATATTAGGAAACTGACCAAAATAATCTCATGAATGAACTTTATGACATGGAAACACTCATTATGTTCTTTGCAAACATGATTAGAGAAAAATATTAAACGAAAACCAAGGGAAAACTTACTCTGGGTACCAAAGATTCTTTTCTCGCGGGTGGCGAAGTTGCCAATAAAAACCTCCTTCACCGAGCATGATCTCACCAGTTTTCATGATCCAAGCCCTTGGACGGAGCCGCCCAGGGTTTGAATTTTATGCGGTCTCCCGCTCCGATCCGAAGACCGCGGCGTTCGTTTACTTTCAGTAATTCAGTTCTGGAAAATGCTTGTCGAAATTCAAAATTGTATTGGAGTTTGAAGCCACCGTTAACAAAGGGATATCTTGATAAAAACAACATTTTGAAGCCATTCTTTCATTTTGCTTTTGTTTAAAACTTCGAAACTAAAAAAGTATGGGTGGCCTGTGATTCGCGCAATCCTGCGCAGACTCAGAAGCCTTATCGAATTTGTCGGTTGAGAGGAAAGGAAAATCGTGAGTTGTGTTGACGTTACCCTGACGTGAACTAAAAAGCGACGTGGTAATCAGCAGAATGGCAACCTTTGATGATAACTGGCAGACGAAACGCCCAACTATCAGCGAGAGAACCAAGTTTATTTTTAATAGCGAATTGTTAAGCGATGTTGAGTTCTTAGTTCCTGTGTCGCTGAACGAAAGTGAAAGCCAGAAGAGTCAGAAGAGTATTCCAGCCCACAAGTTTGTTCTCGCAATCAGCAGTCCTGTGTTCTATGCCATGTTTTATGGTGAAATGGCGGAGACTGCAGGCACTGTCCAGCTGCCTGACTGTGATTATGAGAGTCTGTTAGAGTTGTTTCGTTACTTATACAGCGATGATGTAAAGCTAAGCGGAAGTAATGTGATGCAGGTTATATATTTGGCAAAGAAATACATGGTACCCTCACTGGCTGATAAATGCGCTGAATATCTCCGGAAACAGTTAGAAGCGTCGAATGTGTTCTCCATTCTGCCGCAGGCCCAGAAATTTGAGGATAAAGATTTGGAAAATCGGTGCTGGGTAGTAATTGAGAAGCACACCCAGAAAGCTCTAATGTCGGATGAATTTCTCACGCTTGAGCGATCAGTCGTTGAGTCTGTCGTGAAGAGGGATGTACTGAAAGTAAAAGAAGTGGATTTGTTCAAAGCTGTGGATCGCTGGGCCACTAAAGAACTAGAAAGGAAAGGGAAGACTCCTAGTAGGAAGATCAAGAGAAAGATTCTTGGAGAGGAGATTGTAAAAGCAATACGGTTTTCACTGATATCACAGAAGGAGTTTGCTTCAGTTGTTTTGGATTGTGACATTCTCACTAAAACAGAGATTTGTGACATGATTAAGTACTACAATGGCGTAGATTTAAAATCTCCTCTAACATTCGTGCATCCCTCTAGATCTTTGCATCGATGTTACAGATTTGCACAAATAGTATCCCCTAAAACTGTCCGCTGGTACAACAGTGACACTTCACCTAGTGCTCTTAATTTAACTGTCAACAAACCTGTCAGGTTACATGGAGTCCAGCATTTTGGCAGTGACGGTGGCGAGTACACTGTTTCATTAGAAGTTAGAGATGCACAAACTGGCTGTTTTCTTGTACAACAATCAGGATCCTACGTTTCAGAAAAAGATGACACACATGCTTGCATGTATTATGGCTTCGATGTTGAGTTCGATAACCCAGTGTCTCTTGAGACAAACAGAACATATGAGATTGTATCTCGTATAAATGGCCCGTTATCTTGGTTTGGAGAAATAGGTCAACAAACTGTTGAGATTCAAGAAATCAGATTTTCATTTAGTAGTTCAGCTGCCTCCAGAATTGGGACTGATGTATCTCTCGGCCAGTTTCCTGCCTTTCTTTTCAGTACATGGTAGTTTTAGTTCTTAAGAAACATAATTAACTTGTCCCGCGGTTGAAGGAGCCTATTTCAGCTTTTGCTTTCAGTCATCTTGGAAATCTTTTTAAAGGCCTTATCTTTTGAAGTTTTTAAAACTTTTTTTTCCATGTCAGCTATAGGTATTTGATACGTTGAAAAAGTATTATTATTTAGGCAAATGAAGTTAACTGACTGAGAACTAGCAAATCTCGGTAGCAATGTTATTAGCCAAAATGAGTATAGGGAAAAGAATAGCCTGTTCCAGGCTTTCGGATAGTGGAGTACGGCGCGAAGGAAGAGAGCGAGAAAAAATAAATAGGAAAAGAGAGAGAGAGGAGCCTCGCTCTCACCCTTACCCCACCCCCTCGTTGTTTGTTTGTTTGTTTGTTTTTTGCCCCCATCTCTTTGTGCTGTCCCCACGATCTGAACGCCTGGAACAAGCTAGGAAAAGAAAAAATCGCAAATGTAGCGAAAACGAAAAATTCAACTGGGATTGCTATAGAAAGAATTACTAGTAAATCTCGTTAGCAATTTTAACATAACAAAGTTTAAAGAAAACTGTTTGCACAAGTTAGCTTAACAGAAACTGCAAGTATAGTATGAATTATAGCAACTTTAGCAAACGAAAAACAAATTAGACTTCTCTCCCTCACAAGGAAAGAAATTATAAGTTTGTATCGTTCACTGTCAAACTTTATGATGCTTTCTTTAAAAAGTGAGTTTAGTGACTGTATTAAAAGATTTTCCAGTGAATGGCGATAGCAAGTTATGCATTCGTTGAATTAGTATATTTCAAGATTTCTTCCTTTTGTCCTTTTTCAATCCCAGACACAAAAAGATGGATATTTAACGAAGTTCGAGCAACTTTTCTGTTCTGTGGTACTGTTTCTTTGTCTTTACCAAAAATCTCATAGTAAGGGCATTTGATAGAAACTAATTCCATTATTTCTTTGGAATAGAACGTTTTGTTTCTCTTTGTTTTACACACTATTACATAACATTTCAAATTTCAGCTCTCTATTCGATTTTATTTACGTGAACTTTATGGAAAAAAATATCGTGACCTTATAAATTCCAGTGTTTGTTTTATAATTTGTTGTTGTTAATCATGTAAGCCTACTGAACAATCCAGTCCCATAGCTCTGTCAAGAGCCGACAGAATGTCAATAAATCCGCTTTTGTTCGTACATCACGCTTTTATATTCTATATTGTGCAACTGATTCAACCGATATGTTTTTTGAATTATTATATATTCAAATTCATGACATCATTTGCATTTCCTGATATACCGATTCCACTGGCCTTTTACGTACGTAGCTTGCGCAAGTTTATCACGAAGCCATAAAGATTACCCGCCGCTAATTTCGGATTGCTTTCTTCGAAAAGAAACCAAGGTCTCAAAAGATTGTTGCAGGTATTGCCAGTAAGTTTTCATTCAAACGTAAGCATGGTTTTGCCGCTTCATTGTTAATATTCACCGGCCGCTTTCCTCCGTGTTAATTTATAGCCATGGCACAAATGCTAAAATGAAATTATTGGCGCTAAAATACTAGGGATAATTCCATACAAATTTACTGCCAATTTAAATCTTGTATATAAGTCTGTTATCGTCGCTTTTTTTGCTTTTAAGCCTGGTGATGAAATCTTAAAAACCTTCAAAGTGTTTTCATTCTACGCACGTGTTGTTCATGCGCCTTGTTAATTTGCTATAGAGTAATGTTTAGGACGAGCTGTTGAATCTCTTTATACTTGTGCGGTATTCAACTAAAACAACTCAAATTAGTTTTGTCGGCCGAAGTCTAAATCCTAAGGCAAACGCTTAACGGTAGCTCTTTAAATGCTTGTATTAATTAATATTCATCGACGAAAATGCCGCGTCTTACACGATTATAAGGTTCTGTTGCTTATAGCTATTTTCATTTGATTTCCGAAACCGTCAACAATCGACGTTAAATCATAAACGGAGGAAAGACACGTCTTCGTCTCCAGGAATACTGGACAGATTCAACGTCAGCCGTTTTTCTTTCACTTCAGTTGGAAAAATTTTAATTTCGTTATTCCTCGTGAATTTAAAAACAAAACATTAAATGTAATAGAAACGGCTGCTGTACACAGTTATACTCATATATTATAAATTAAGTACCATTCTGACAATGGAGTGATCTTGACATCTGGCAGAGAACTGTATTCATCCATCGCAAATTTGTTGCAAAATTAGGAGAACGTAATGACGATCTATTTTTATCAAGTTTCCAACGAGAAACAAAAACAGTGTTTCTTTTCAAAGACTAGGTTCGCTAAGTTTGATAAAATAAAAGCCTGTATGGGTTACTAGTAATAAAGGAAAGTAATTATGAGATTGAAATAAATTGTACAACCATACCAATACTGTGCCGAATAAAATGCGCATCAAATATATATGATAATGTTATTTACGTAAGATGCCCACGTCACTTGCAGATGATAATCATGCTTGTCGCCCGTAAGGTCCATACGTAGAGTGATTATGAACAGGGAAGTATTGTGACGTTTCAATTATAAGTTTCCCTTGGTGGGATTTCGTCTTAGAAAGAAAGAAAGAAAAAACAAAACAACAACAAAAAAACTTAGCAATAATTTGTTTAGTCTGTGGTTTTCACTTGGCCTATTGCTGCGTCTCGCAATGTTTCCTTGAAAGAGAGAACAACTTTGAATTTATTTTGTTGGTACTCTTTCTGTCTGAATTTTTTTTTTATGTTTTTTGTGACAAAGTTTTCGTCTATCTGCGTCAGTTTATCCAGTTCTATTTCGCCTGACCGCCAGCCCGTGTCTGTATCTCGTGTCTTTCAGGATAGCAATAATTCGCTGTTCGTCATCTCTTGACTATGACTGTACCAGGATCTTCTGACTCTTCAAACAAATGTGTCGGTAGATGGTAACGTTGAATAGGGTTGGCAAGCATCTTGAAAGTCCTCGAATTTTCAAATAAAAATTCAACGCCTTGAAAATCCTTGAAAATTGCAATCGGTGGTGGAAAGTCTTTGAATTTCGGTGCTAAATTTATCCAACCCAGATTCTCAAGTGCCTACAGGAAGCAAACACTGAAAGACCTTCAGGACAAAATTGCTCACGTTGTAAAAGAGCTAAAAAAAAAGACACATACTCAAGGCTTTTTTAACATTGAATGAAGTCCTTGAAAAATGGGAAATGTGTCCGCTTGAAATTCCTAGAAAGGCCCTTGAATTTTTTTGATCAAAAAGGGTACGAACCCCGTGAATAACGTAAAAATGTTTCCAATTACACTGAGTCGGAAGTGTCCTTGCGGGGTACCTATATATTAGGATGTGCAAACAATTCTCAAAATCCCAGTGATAACCCGTTCCATACAGTTCCTACTTCTTTACACCCTGCCGCCAGAGCCTGGCTTTCACTTGCTCGATTTTGGCGTTTCCGAGAAAAACTCTACATGAATCGATCAAATTCTTTGTTGAACATGCAGTCGTTGCATGTTGCTAAGATATTAGTTTTGAGCCAAGACCTTATAGCCGTGCGGTTGGTACCGCGGGCATAGTTATGACCATGCACATGTTTATCAATAAACAAGTTTGTTCCAGGCGTTCAGACTGTGTTGCTGATTGCGGGGATGGTGCAAAGAGATGTGAAAAGGAGGGGTGGGGTAGGGGGTTCTCCCTCTCCCTCTCACCCTCGCCCTCTCTGGGCTTTTCTGAGGTATAAAAATTCTTCTAAAATTCCATGTACCAAGCAGTGATTTTTTCATTCAAAGTTTCGCAAAATTTCATTGTTTATGAAAGTGCTGAAGATAGGAATCTTCGGGCGATTTTTAACCGGATAAAAAATGCATTATCTTGCAATATTTTTACCAAATAGTATTGCAACTGGAATGCCTTACTTACCTGCCAAAGATGAACTTGTTTCCCTGGACCGCCTTTCTTCCCCGAGGGCTTTGAAAATGGTATAATTCAAAAGGTTTTGGACCGGCAACTGTAATGACGTGGGGTAGCATTTCGCTTTTTGGCGGTTTTCTCGAAAATGAGAATTCTTTGGAAGCTTTGATTGTGATTTTCGAAAATGTTTCATCAAAAGGCTCTTTCTGGCTAAAAATGAAGTATTTCGAAATTTCAGTTTTGACGGCGAATTCTCGATATTTACAGACAGCAAACGTTTTCCACGTTTTCAAATCCTCTGGTAAATTATTCCAAATTTTAGCCCTCCCCTCCTCCCCCTCTATATTTTAATGAACATTTTCCTAAATTCGTTCCACTAACTGATCGTTTACTATCCGTTTCGATCTGCAGAATGGAAAACTAACCAAGGCGGAGTTCGTGAGCTGGATGAGGAAACACCCTCTCATACTGGACTCGGTATTCAAGCACACAAGTATTCAGGACAAAGAATTTAGCAAAGTAAGGGGCTGTTTACATGGAGGTAGGAGGATCCTAGCACCAGGAATATTGTAGAAGGCGGATCATCCTAGCGCCATATGTTTTCTGTATTCGGTTTACATGCAAAGGGTTGTACTTGTTCCTAGAGCTAGGATCTTCCTAGTACTAGGATCTTCCTAGCTGACAGGTAGGAAATCCTAGCACCATGTAAACTGCCTTTGCTAGAAAGATCGTAGTACTAGGAACAAACCAGACAAAAATAACGGCGGGTCGTTCAGTGGCTAATAATCACAGCAATAGAGGCGGACCATTTCGTTTGGCGTTACAACGAGCTGATTATTGTGATAATTCTGCTGAAAGGTAGTAGTTAACGCCAGTAAAGAGAGCAGAAGGGCCCAAATTGTATGTTTGTTTTTCTCGCCCGCCATTTTTAATTCCCTCTCAAACATTCTATGTTTGTCTAACACACGGACCAAAATTTCTCCATGCAAACCCAACGTAAAGTTGATCCGCCTTCTGGGATCTTCCCGGTACTTGGATCTTCCTCCCTCCATGTAAAGGGCCCCTAAGGAAGCATCACGTTATAACACCTAAGGGACCTTAAGATCCGAGAGCGCCAACGGCAGGGAAAACAAAAACGTCACTCAAAAAGTGAATTCGCGTTCTTTCTGTCTTGATCGTTATTATAATTCCAACTTATCTACTTTGCCAGTTGTAGGCGAAATCTCTTGGAGTTGAATTCATCAGAGCCATATCCAAGTTCAGAAAAAGAGAAAATTTTGTCGTCGCTTGTTTACGTCCTTCATTGCACGTGGAATTAGGCATTTTCACGTTGAAGTCGTGCAATTGATGGCAAAAAAATGCATAACAACGCACAATGCACGTGCAAAGTTGTTTTGCTTATTAAGGGCCTGTTTTACGGTGGAGGTGGGGGACCCCAGGTAGGTGAGGTATCCCGCTTAGGTGGGGTAACCTGCCTGTCCATATAATCTCTCATTTTAATTCAATCATATTTACATGATAGGTGGGGCGACCCGCCACATGTTACTTCACCTACCTGGGATCCCCCACCTCCATGTAAACAGGTCCTAAGACTCCTATTCCACCGGTCTGGACAAATGTTTAAATGGACGGACGAATTTTTTACCTGTATAAACCGTTTACACGGAACCATGCAAATTCTGTTACAAAACTTGCAAGGTCCCTTAAGGGGTTGTATTGTGTCGCCAGTTGACCGATTTTGATGGCAGCGGAAAGATTGCTATATAACTTCGGAACAGAACGTGATTAAAGCGAAGTGTTGAATCCTTCATTATTTGTGTTTTCGTTGTTTTGACAGTATGATCGTCTTCGAGAAAGCCACAGATCACCTACCATTGTCACTTCAACAAAACAAGGAACACGGTGAGTTACAGGCATCTTTTCTGGCACACACCCTCAGCACATTTTTAGACTTGATCAGAATTACAGTCCCCTTAAGTTTTTCAGTCATTTTTAACTAGGAATAGCCAAAGCTTAATATTCCTCTTTTTACGACCCCCCCCCCATCAAGCTCTGGAACAATTGAGAATCTTCTTTAAATTAAGTCATACTGTTTAAGTTTAACTTTTAAACGCCTTTGTAGTCTAAGCATGTAAGTACTTCTCTAGAGGGTCCCCAATAGGATTCTTCAATCCCTTAATGCCGACCTAAAATTTCGTGCAATCCCGTAATCCTGAGGGTTATTTTTGGAATTCCACCTCCCAAGCATACTTTCAATCCCAAATCTGGTCCCGATTTTCCTTTCAAATCCCGAATCCCGAGCTTCTAATAGGGGAAATCCCGAGTCCCGAAAAACCTATTGACGACCCTCTCTCTTGGCAGATAATATCTCTAACATGGACACTTTGTGCCAGTTACACTACAGTGTTCGTGTCAGTGGGGTTGACTTTATTGTATATCCTTCCTTACCCCCCCCCCCCCCTTTTTTTTTTCAGACGCACAGAGTTGTTAAGCCAGACTTGGGTTGATGGCTTACAGCAAGAATCTCAAACGGATCAAACAGCCAATGGTGAGTCCCGTCACACCAGCTCCTCATTGATCTTCAAGCCAGTTTAATCTAGGAAATATTGCTGGGGAGTGGTTATTGGCGGACGCAAATGTCTCCCAGTTTAGCGGCGCGAGGAACAGATCTTTCGTAGGCAAATTTTCTTACCTTTGCTTTGAGCGTCAAAATGTGTCACGAACTAAAAAGTGGCCAAAGAGAGTTCACTGACGTTCTTACCATGTTTTGACGTATTTTGAGATCTGTAAACTGAACAAAACAGAATCTAATTCGTTTATACAAAAGCGAGAAGGAAAGGTGGCGCCAAAGCGGGCGATTGTTTAAGGGTGACTCTAATTATTGCACTTGCCACGTCAACAAGGCTACTCATCGCTTTTGCTCCTGTTTTTTTCTTACATGTTAACAGCTTCTGTTAATATTATTTTCTTTGGAAACCCCTTATTTGTGATACTGGCGAGATTATTCGCTTGTCTTGTTTTATAGAGCCTACATTCAGCGGAAGCTACGGAGACGCAGATTATCTATGGAGCCCAGTCTTCCCGGCGAGCTTAGGCATGCCTTGCGCCCGCAGTAGGCACTCGGTTTGTGTCTGGGGAGGAGAGGTCTTCGTGTATGGAGGACGAGGAACCAGAGGAACGCTCAAAGACTTCTGGAGATATGAAATAGGTGAGAGGTTGACTTGTTTGAATGCCCTGCGGTAGTAGCTATAGTTTGTTTTTGAACGCTTTTTTTTTAATTTTTTCCCTCCAGTTTATACATGTTTTAGCTAACTTGACTTAAGGGAAATGTGTCTGGGTACAGCTGGCATACAAGGCATTTTTTTTAAAAATCTTTTTAAATCTTCAAGATTGTCCATCCGTGCCTTCTTTACACTGTAAATCAGAAAGATCTGTTTTAGCCCCCAAAGTAGGGCCGTTTCCGTGAGTTAAATACAGTCCTATTTTGGAGTCTAATTAGCTAGGGCTGATTTGGTGGAAAAGCCTTTTGATTGAGCTTTTTTGCCTAAATTGTTCTCAAATGGCTCCAGGAAGAGCTGAATTGACACTTTGAGGCTGAGACAGATCTTTTTAATTTTCAGTGTAGTAATTGATGTGTTTAGCCCATTTTTAATATTTTGGGCCGCTCGACAGCTCTCTATGTTCTCAATGTTTGAATTTTGATAAATTTTGTCACATAAATCCTTTGATTGTTTTGCTTTACAGCCACTAACACTTGGAGTGAGGTTGTTGTAGAAGGCGACTTCAAACCGCCTTCGCTACAGGAACACACCGCCGTTCCGTACAAGGTAATAATTTCAATTAACAGTTTAAATCCCTATTGTGCAAAATCGTAGAAGAAAAATAGTACCATGTTAAAGGCTATGAGGTGCGACGTCCTTCTAATTTCCTTGCGGTGCAAAAGGATGTCTACATGAAATTCATTATTTTTGCTGTTCAGTGTTGTTTCTTTGTGATGCAAAGGGTTTCACTACTCTAAATACTTTCATTTGACGTACCTACTAAATCTTTTTGTGTTTGTGTGTGTTTTTTCTTTTTCCTCAATTATTACAGGGTAATATGTACGTGTTCGGCGGCGAATTCACAGCAACGAACGAGACGCCATTATGGACTTTTAATTTTCGTAAGTGCGTTGTGTTTTCTGTTGAGATTATTCTTCACCTGCGTTCCTTTTCTTTTCTGATACAGACTCCTCTTTTTCTTCTTAGGTTCGCGGGTGTGGAGAAAACAAGCCGCGAAATCCTGGGTAAGATTAGATCGATTTTCAGCTGAGTGCCAAAAAGGCCTGTTAATGGGCGATCTTAGCCCCGCTGGTGCGGTGATCTCCTGGCAATTTTATTACTATTATTCAAACTTTATCTTACGGGCTCCTGCGTTGTAAAGGCTCATCGGGGCAGCTCCCAGTTTTCTGATAATTCTTGCGTAGAAAATCGCTGACTGGGGATAAATCGCGTAAAAATTCGCTGCAAGTAGTTAAGAAAGCACAGGCACTTTCGCCTCAAACATCGCCATGAAATCACCGCTACGTTACACGCGCTATTTGAAATGGCAGGAAAAAGTGCACGAAAAATCATATTTTTTAGCAAGCCTTTAGTAAAATTGTCTTTCAGTCTGTCACACTACTTATAAAGGGCAAAGTAATCGTGAATACTGGAAAAGGCTTTATGTCTTTCACAATGATGCACTAAATCCACTTTTCACTGTAGCTTTTCTTTTCATCTCACTTTCTCTTTTGTTTTCTCTTTATAACTTCCTAGGGTCCAGGAACGCGTCGATCTCACACTGCTGTTCACCATGAGGGTTCTATGTTTGTGTTTGGTGGGTATATCGACATGAGAGGCGCAACCAACGAACTCTGGCAGTACGAGCTGGGTGAGTCGGTTTCCATTGTTTCCTCTCTACTGACCACAGTTTTCGAGAGTGCACTAAGCATGCTAAGAGGTTTGGGGGGCTGTCTCGACTCATAATTCAACAAAAAAATCCGAACCATGGATGGGTTCTTCTCACCCAGTGGAGCTGTGATTGTGGTGACAGTATTTTTCTACGAAAAGGCAGATTCAGCTGTTTTTTTTTCTTTTTTTAAATGTGATTTTCTGCTCCATGGCCTCTTCGCGAAAAATGATAATAAAGATAGTAATAATATTTTCACGTACCTGCGTTGCATTCACGTAAGGTTTACGAGAGAGCAAATACGATTTTGACAAAGACTCAATTTGACATTACTTTTTTTTTTTTAACTTTTTTGCAGATACTTCAAAGTGGGTCAGACTTAAGTGGAAAGGCGAAGGGCCAAGCCCGCGGTACAGTCATTCAGCGGCGGTGGGAGCAGCTGGTATGTGGGTGTATGGAGGCTTGGAAGGTCTACAGACCAAGAACGATCTGTGGAGATGGAGCTTTGGTAAGTACCATTAGTAATGGGACTGGGAAAGGTAGACAGGTTTTAAAAACATACCAAATAACAAAACTAACTGATAAATGAAAGTGCATAAACGTCACCCTCTTGATCGTACTGGTGGCTGAAAGCGATTTGCATGGATTCTGCAAGAAGTAGCATCCTGAGTGTCATGTCATGTGATTCGCCTAGAAATACATCTCGGGGATAATATATAGATTTAGCCAAGGCCAAAACTGAAGCTCTCGATGATTCTTTTAAGAAATGTCTTTCTCAAGTAATTTAACTTCTGCCTTAATCAGAACGTGAACTGAATTCCTCTTTAAAAAATGGACATGAGCTCGCAATCAATTGAAAAATTATTCGCCTGTGACGCACGTTGAAGTGAAGCAATCTGACCGATCAAGACTCCGAAACACACACAAACCTGAAAGGAAGAACGAAGGAAAAGCGAGTTCTAGATTTGAGATTTACACGTTGAAGCAGTTCTTCGCTGGCTGTTCTCTTGAAGACGACAAATTGGGGGGGGGGGGGGGTGGGCAGAGTGGGAGATGTTCACGAAGTTGTCCCACCTTCAAGTGATTCTTTTTTCAACCGATCTCTACTGGAGTCCCCTCATGTGCCTCATTTTAATGTGTTCTTTCCAGTAGTGTCGACGGATTTTCCCTTAGTAACCCATGTCAAAAGTTGAAAAAAGCAACAACTCTAAGTAAGTAATAATTAAGGGTTCTGCAGCGAAGCTCTCAGTTTTGTTTCTTTCATAGTTTCTCACTCTTGGTCGAGAATTAAGAGTCGAGGTGGTCCGCCGGGCCTGTTTGGTCATTCTGCAATCAAGGTAAGGAGTGAAGTAATCTGATCTCTTATACTAAGGAGTTAAACTGATATAATGATCTGCCTCCATTTTATATACTAAGCAGTTAAATAGTTAGAGAAATCTCATTTTAAAAGCAGGTGTTTTATATTAGGAAAATTTAACGTTTACTTGCGTTGTAGTTGAGAATGGTGTGTTCTTGCATGATTTTGCTTTCGACCAAAGGCAGGTCAAGCTATCTAATGTGCCCGAGCGAAAAGCGGCTTCACGTTTCCTAGGATCGGCTGGCTTCGAGGTCACTATCTAAAGCCTCGGATAAACGATCAAACATTTTCGTTTGCAAATAATGTTTGATCATACATCGAACAAAGTCAGTGATCCCACATTAACCTTATCCTGCGTGCTGTACATTTTAAATACAACGTTGAGACGAGCTCTTCCAACACGATGGTGGACGAAAATGTTTTAACGTTTAAAATAACGGGGACTTAAAATAACGAGCACCTGTGGAATCATAAGTTAGAGCCAGTATAACGACCCATCAAATCAAACGAGGGGACTGAGATTATTTTACCTAGTAAATAAACCCAAAGTTTTTGGAGCAGTAGAGCAGTCCGTATTTGGTTGATACTTGCCGGATATCCTATGGTTACCCTCCTTCTTGAGTTGTACTGTTTGATTGATTTTTTTCCAATAGTGACTGTCTTTTCTGTGTATTTATAGGTTGGAGACGGGATGTTAATATTTGGAGGGGAGACAGCTGACGGCGTTCTGCAAAATTCAATGTGGCGGCTTGATCTAGGTATGAAAAATCCCTAGCCTTCTATAGAACGCGTTTTCTTTGGATGACGGAAGACGAGAAGTCCTTTGGCCAATGAAAGCGAGCAGACGTTGCGGTCAACCAATCAAAACTTGAAACTCAAATGGGCTGAAAAATGCATTTTGGTTTCAAATGTACCGAGGGACGAAGAGGAAATTAGTTCGAGTCTGTCAACATAAAGTTGTTAAATTGCTGTAGTCGCGAATATCAAAGCATTTGTCCGAGTACATTTTTCAAATAGCCTTTTCATTGCCTTGGATGCAGGTTACTTAAATTGATTTGTTCGGCTGAAACCAACCTATGTATTCTAACATCTTTCAGGGAATCGCACTTGGACAACTGTTCGCCCGCGGGGCGGAATATCCCCACCCGTCCGGAGCTGTTTTTCCATGGGGGTAGTTACGTCTTCCGCGTTTCTAATATCTGTGCGACCATCGACGTCCCACTCCGCCCCACCCTGTACTCCCATGCCATCTGGCTTTCTGAAGGAGGAGAGTCTGGACAGTCGACTGACCACTCATGGGAACTCTACCGGGGAATCCTGGCGCGAACCCGTCACCCGATGGGAGAGATCTGCAGCATCACTGGACTCGCTTGATTCAACAGCGCCTTCATCCAACTTTACAGTAAAGTCTCGCGATGCTAAACGCAACCAAAATCGACCTGCATCCATGTTTGGCACTCAAGTTTACGAGAATTCTCGAGGCATGACTTTGTCGGATGACTCTCTGAACGGATACGAGCCTAACAACTCGACAAACGCGAGCAATAGAGCCCAGAATCTGCCCTCTTGGGGAGATTTTCGGGCCACAAAAGGCCGTGTCCAAAGCCATGAGTTTTTAAATGTGGATTCCACTATTATCCCCACGGATTTAAGGAAGAGTTTGACTCGACCATTCGCCTGTTTGTTGGTGCTTGGAGGCAAGACGCGTGTTCAGGCTGATATGGCAAGAACTCTTGATATCTGGCGGTGTGATATTGATCCAGGTAAGAAACAGGCTCCTTCTCATCCTTGCTCTGACAGGTTTTCTTTCGGTACTCCGATTTCCCCCTCTCCATAAAAACCGATGTTTTCAAATTCCAATACGCCACTTCCACATTTCCCATAATGCGGGGCGCCACGCAGCTGTTTACAAGGACTCACAGGATTGGCTGTGAAAACAATAGACATAGAGATTATAACAATGACTTTATGCCTTAAACAATGGAGCTGCGTGTTATGGAGATCCAATGATATTAGAGGTTTTTAAGAGCTTCGTTCCAACTGCATAATGCGCCTTGTTTGCCCCCCAAAATTTTGCATAAGCATTATTTTCAATTCCTCCTGGTAGGGCTGTAACACCCAGGAGAAAAACAAAGGTTGTGTATTTTTTTTGCATGGGGGGGGGGGGGGGGACGGAAAGAAGTGGCGTTTAGACTATTTTAGCCCAGAGGAGGTTGGACAGCAGTTCGCAAAGGATCATGAGGCGAATTATCAAGTAGCTCAGTTATAACGAGACCGTCGAGGTAGATGGATCTCCGTGATAAATGCACGCCTTTTTGCCGAGTTTAGCCACAATTGTGCTTGAATTCCGAATATTTTCGCACTAAAAGTTTATCCTATCAAAGATGTTACAAATTTCTCACGGCTAAGGGGTTGAGGTGCCTTTAAAACATGTTGTTTAGCCTGATTTTAGCCTGTATGTTTTTTTTTTCCCAATTCAGACCTCCGGGAATTTGTCCTTTGTCTTTTCACAAAATATGCGTACATATTCATGTGGATGCACCTGTATCGGAAACAGTTCTCTAGGGCACCATCACATGGTCTGAAATAAGAAAACAAAAGATACAAGCTGAAAAGGTCTATTCAATCTGGAATGCTATACAAAGAACTACTATGTGGATTTGCTACCTCTAAACCGTCATTAATTGATTGATCGATTGATTGATTGATTGATTGATTGATTGATTGATCGATCGATCATATATTTCTTTATTATTTATTTGTTTTCAGTCAAGAAAAAGCCAACAGAGAGACACATGGAGAAAATAACTGTTGCAAACAGTCAAACGGTGGAACCTCACGTCCCCCATAGGGTCCCCTATAGGAACTTGGAGCTCTCTGCAGATATTACCGCTGACTCGGATGATTTGGATACCGTGTCAGTCGGAAGTGACTTGGTTTTAGCAGATATGTCTGATAGCGATACCCGGAGTGTGGATTTCTTATTGGATGATTATGACTTCCAGACATTGTCACGTAACTTTCCTAAAGTGTCTGTTTGAATTGCTCTCTTCAGATATGTGCCACGTATTTTGCACAGAGTATAATTCGTGACAGCCTAAATGACGACTTCCTCGGCTGGTTTCGGTGGATCTTCTTTCTGCACTCGACTCTCTCTCTCTCTCTCTCGTCGTATTTTGAAATATGCCAAGCGCGAGGGAATACTGAACTTTCAATGAACTAATAAATCTTAATGGACTGAAGGGAATTGCAAAATTTGCGATGTTAATGTCAATGTTGTCTTTAATATATGGAACTTTAAACGTCTAAAAAAGGTCTGTCACGATATTTTTTTATTCATTAGTTTGTAACTTCTAAAGTTATTTCGAAATTGAGGCAAACATAGATATGATTACAAACAACAAACTCTAAATTTCGCTTGAATATTTTAAGATGCAGAAATTTGTGTCTTGGCTAATTTACCACGTTTTGTCGCACTGGTACTCGACCTTCGAAATCAACACTGTTTGGAATAGATTTCCCTCAATCAAACGGTTCAAATCCGGAAGTATCGGAGTATCGTTGTATCGTTTCATTGACGGAAACTCAATTCTCTAGTGTTATTGATTTTGAAGGTTGTGTATTGTAACTTCAAATGCCCCACCTTTCTCCGAAGTCTATTCGACTGAGTATTCAGAAAGTAGATGATATTTTTCCGTTCTAAGATTGTTAGTTTAAATTGTCGGTCGTAAATATTATGCTGCATGTAAAAAATTGTATATACCAGTTAAAAAAATAATACCGTTTATAATTTACTTGTAAAGAAATTAAATGGCATCGTCCAGTTTAAGATATGTTAACATATTAAAAATAAAAGTGATCAAATTGTAGTGTCGCCTACTGATTTCTCTCTGAAGGCAAATCATGAAGCTTGGTTCTTCCGTGCCATCGTGCTGATGGTCTCCATCGCACGAGTTATCTCAAAGTGTATCCAGGCGATGGAAAAGATAAGTGAAAACACCTCTGATGTGTTCGATGGAGGGCTTCACGGACGACTGAGACAATCGGCCACTTTCGATTTCTAATTTTACTTAGTTTCAAAACGATTCCACGTGCAAAACTCTTCTTGTAAAAAAAGGTAGACTACGAGTAGGTCCCCCTTTTTCCTCAGGGATAGTAGTAACCTGAGATCAGGCCCAATCTTAGCGGTTCTCATACATTCTCTCTAACGGCTACCGCTAAAATTTTCGTTTCGCCTTGCCCGCCGGAATGTAATTTTCAATGCGAAACGAAAATAGAGCCTGATCTCAGGTTAGGATAGTAGAGCGAGCGAAACGCAAGCGTCCCCATTTTTTCTCAGGGATAGTAAAGCGAGGGAAACGCGAGCGCGCGTGAAAATCACCCCACGCGAGAAAGGCGAGACGCGACGGGGACCCACCGCGTCTCGCCTTTCTCTCGGACTACTCGTAGTCTAAAAAATGGGGAGCTTAAGCAAAGGCACGTCAACTGGAAGTGAGGCTTCTCCCTTTTGCCCTTATATATACGATCCCAAACATTTCGGCAAAACTCCTGCGCAAGAATGTAAAACGTCTCCTTCAGGTTGACGAGCAACGCTCATAACGTGTTTGCTTTAGGATGTAACTCACCGGCCTCCTACTTACCCTCGCTTTGAAACCGAGGCCTCATGTGCAACTTGAAAATGGCCAAATTCGTGGACAGGACTAAGGTGTATGTAAAGACTGAATCTCGTGAAATCGTCATAGAAGGGTCTTGTTTTTTGGTATGCAAATAACAGGGAGTTTACTTTGTCTTATGTCCTAAACTGGGTTCTAAAATAGTGGTTGTGTTATCTTAGGTTTCTTTTTTTCCTTAACGAGGTCAAGGTACGTTCACGCCCTCATTTGGGCACTCCATGTTTTAAGCACTAGCTCCCCCTCAGGAGGTCTGGCATGCACATCAACCGACACACCGTCACAATGAATCCTCTTTTAAGGGAAAAAAAGGTCAAAATGGTAACTGAACAAGAGCATATTTTAATAACTAAAGATAAACACTCAAGTACAGATAAACTGTTTTAAATTTCAACTTCCCCTTTCAATAAAAATGGAAATTAAGTACACCTGTCTATTACCATTTGGGTGATTAAAATTACAAGGTTAAATCCCGGGGGAGTACCACCTGGTAATGGGGGTGTGCCGCAGAATGGGGGGCGCGTTTTCACGACTAGATTGACTGTATAAATGGGGTTGCCTTTTCAATAGAGTTAAAAGATTGGGGTCGCACACTTTTCGGAATTTTCAACGTAAGATAATTCTGGTGAGTAGGGATTTAAAACTGTTAAGATTCGCGGTTAAAATATGACAGCAAGTGACTAAGATGAAATGGTCAGAATAACATTTGCCCAAAAGGTACTGAGATGGGGTATGAAATTGACCACTGAATAGACTATAATGGTGTAGGGGTTCTGATAAATCAGCGCGGCACATACCCTGCACAAATTGACTCAATTACTCCCCGGGGAGTTAAATTCACCTCAACAATTTTTTTCCTCATAGATTACAATATTAAATACGCGTTTTTTTATAATATATATTTATAATTTAACCTCAACTGAGCCATGACGGAATAACCATGTAAAATCCACCCAAAACACAAGCTAACCTACACAACTTTCATTAATCAGTCAAATTATGTATGTGTAATGAAATACTGACGAGTGAACTTAGGAAATAATTTCAATAGGCCATTTTACAGTTGTGCGCTCGGTTTCCTCCCCTTGGCATAAAGACGAGGTTGGAGGTCACCTTGTTTTTTTTTTCTTTAAAAAGCCTCCTTCTTTTCATGTGCAAATCGTGTTAGGCCTAGGCCAAACGTTGAACTTTGCGTGAGACGAACCAAACTCTAATTTGGGTCGACCTAAATTAAGTTAAAATCGTCTGTTGGGTCATACGTCGAACGCAGGACGCGTAGAACCAATCAAATGAATTAGACCAAAAAGCAATTTAAGCCGGCCTAAAATACATTTTCATACAAATTTTTAATTTACTAGTTTAGTTCGTCGCATGTGAAGATCGGCGTTGGTCTCGGAGACGATCTTCGGACGTTCTACTAAATTCGCTAAGTTTCGTGCGTCTCGTGAAAAGTTCGACATTTGGCCTAGGCTTTATTCTCATGCCAACAAGCCCCTGAACAAGATCATTTACAGGTGACAGCAGAGGGATTTGTAAGAAAACAAGGTCACTTCCAGCCTGGGCGCTGGGCAAACAACGGTAAAATGGCCTACGCATTTTTGTGAAAAATTTTCAACATTTCCCTCACGTTTAATATGATAACAAATTGCGAATCACTGTTTATAGGTAAGATCTCAGAAAATGTACGAATTGTCCGAGACCGATTAACATGACACTTTAAATTTTAGTTACAGAAGATCAACTGCATCAGAGTCGCCATATTGGATTAGGAAAACGGAATGAGACTGTAAACGAGACTAGGCTCGGCTCCTCAACCGCGATCAAACGTCTGATGCGTCTTTTGTTTGAACATTAGTGTGATTCCATTTGCCCTAAAGTGAAAACATGGGCAAGGATTCGTAGTATAATTAGTTGACGTACCTATCTTTGTATCTTTCTTAAAATAATGAGCTTCTTTCCGTTAGAAATGTAGCCTGCTTGCGAGAGTCTTCTGAGCAAGCTCTCCCTTTCGAGTGGCGAGCATAGAAAGGCGAGACAGAACGCGCCCTCGCACACGCGTTTCCTGTCACGCGCGGCTCTTGCGTGACTTCTCGCAACTTCTGCCAAAAGGAGAGCTTGTTTGCAGGCTATTAGAAAAGCTTCGCAGCCAAGTACAATTAACTTTAAGTTGGCAAATCGCGCCGAAAGTTAAGCAATTTCAGCTTTCAAAGGTTTTAGCATTTTATCAGCGTATTGTTGTTATATAAATCTTTCAATTTTAGTGAAAGTAACCAACTAAGCTTTAAAGTACTTAAATGATTATCTTTTGCATTTTTCTCTCGTTTAATAGCGGTGAAAGGCTTGTTACACAGCCGTTTTTAGTGTCGTCACGCAACGTGCGAGGAGCGTTACGTGACGACATAAAGAACGGCTGTGTAGCAAACTATGAAAGACTCGGCCCCCTTGAATTTAAAGATGACGTCACAAAATGAACAGTCTGTCTGCCATCCTTTTTCTTAGATCTTTAGCCGTCTTCCATCTAATCCCATTCCGACGCATTCTATGCTCCAAGAACGAGGGCTCAAAAGATCCAACCAGGAATCCTGCATGAGAAGACAATCAACCGATGAAAACTCTGAAGCAACTAGTCTCCCTCTCAGCCGCTTTTGTTTCGTCACGCAACGTTCCTGCCCAACAAGGAGGAGTGTTGCGTGACGGGACGAAAACGGCTGCGAGGGAGACTAAGAAGCAGCCAGAGACAGTTGGATAAACGGGCGATCAGGGTTAAACTTACTATAGCCCTAATCTAAAATAAACAAATAAATATGTAAATAAATTCATCATGCTGTTTTTTACGCATCCTTAAGGTGAAAATGAGAGAAATTTAAGAATCAACGCAATAGTCCAGTTTCGAATTAAAAATTACCGCTGAATACAAACATTAACGACACAATAGACAGAGTAATAAACAGGTCTTTTTCTCGTTGAAATTTGTGAATATATTACTTCAGATTGAGGATAAAGCTATAAAAAATGCGTCTTCACTTCTTTAATTCAGCGGTCATAACGAACTCGAAAATGGACTATTCTTCTTTGGTAATAATTTCCTTTCTCCTTAACATCTATACATGTCCAATTACTATATTTTAAATACCAATGAAATACCAGGTGAGATTTCGCGCGAAAACGTGATATCTTCGCACGTGTAAAGATTACCGTTGCCATGGTTGCATAATAAACCGCGCCTTTGGCAGCGAAAATGAATGATTCGACTACAATTAAATAGAGCTGTACTTACACCCTTCCTTGGACAGTTCTGATTGGCAAACCATTCCATGCTGTACATACACATCAGCAGACCATTGCCGACAATCAGTGTGATCCACATAAAGATGTTCCACGCTTGAGACACGTTCTCGTGCTTCTTTGGTTTTAGAAACACAAACGACACTGAAATAAAATATAACAACTCAATCCATCATTGACATAGTTATTGTTATACTAACCACTACTGTCATCATGATCATTCACAATCATCATCATCATCATCATCATTATCACCAACAATAACACCTACGCTACTGAACCTAAGTAGCAGGAGCTTGAAAGTAATGAGGAACCATGAAAGAACAAGACATGCGAGGGAGACACGACAGAAGACACGTCGCGTGTTGGAGCCCCAGTAGCCTACGTAGCAGGCGCTTGAAAGGAAACACGGGTTCATGAGAGAACGAGGCACGCGATGGACACACGAGAGGGTAGAGAGACGCGTGTTACCTCGCGTATCTTTTGATTAATCACTATTGTCATCATTATCATCACCAACAACAAGACCACCACTAGCCTGAGTCAGGAGCATGCGTAGGAAGGGCTTGAAAGTAACAAGAGGTTTCTATCAATATTTTAATCACTACTGTCATCATTATCATAATCAACAACTACAAGGACCATTACTAGCAGGCACAGCAAGCGCTTGAAAGTGATATCGGTGTATGAAAGAACAAGGCACGCGATGGAGACACGAGAGGAGAGAGACAGGCTTACCCCCCCCCCTTCAGTGTCACGTTCTTTCTCTCCCCACTATGCAAGCTGCACCATCACCACCACTACCACTATCATCATCGTCAATGTCACAATGAAAGAAAATTACTACTTCACATTTAAATGAAATAAAGACGACGCCTATGTACTTACAACCAAATGCACCAAACATAATGAGAAGAATGGGATAGAAGAAGCGGAAAGCGAAGAGTAGAACGTATTCGTGAACAATGGCGGACAAGATGAACACGGAAACTGTCGCCACTTGGCGGTTCTTAATAATCTGAAAAACAAAAAATAGTATAATAAGACGCTCAGTTATAAATTGACTTTGGGCCTAGGCTTAATTTGCGCCGCTCCCTGTCTGACCCCCCCCATCACGCCCCAATTAGAAAGTCAAATGGTTCGCACTATTCCGTTTGGGAGGCTATTGAAAATGTGGGGTGTTGTTTGAGGCGATGCCTTTTATTACTCTTTTTCATTTCTTTAGCCGATCTGGGTACAATTTGCAATCGGTCCTTCTCCAACACGGTCAAACTTATCGATCAATGACATTTTCAAAGGGAGACGAACGGGTGTATGTCAAATGCTTAACTGGCTACCGGTTGATCAACTATTCAAGCTCAATAAACTCGGCCTTTTAAAAAAAGTTATTGATGGTAGGGCACCGGAATACTTAATTACAACCTTGGACTCACTTCGGTTTGAACACAAGTACTCTACCAGAACAAAAACATTATACCGCTTACCGAAACCCAGAACTGAAGCAATGAGGAGAACATTCTTTTATTCCACTATTAAAGAACTAAATGCTCTTAACTTAGAACCAACCACCTCCTTTAGCTTAATGAAGGCAACACTGACTAATAACGTCGCCTCAAACTATACGGTGGACAATTTTAAAGTTAAAAAGTTATTCTGATTTTTAAAACTCCGTGCTTTTTTTTAAATATCAATATAGATTGGATTCCCTTTTTTACCAATGTATTCACTTCCGTTTTTACATCTCTCAATTTTTTAAATCTCTAGAATTTTTAAGAACCTTTTATTATAATCACTATTTGTAAATAGGCTTTTCATCACGATTGTTGTAATTTTATTGTTATCAATTTTGTTTTTAGAGGGCCACTAGGGAGGGAGAATACTTGTTTAGAATTTTTAAGATCCTTTATTATAATTACTATTTGTAAATAGGCTTTTTATCATGACTGTTGTAATTTATTATCATCAATTTTGTTTTTAGAGGGCCACTAGGGAGAATACTTTTTATAGTAATTGGTGTCACCCTCTTAAAATAAAGGTTATTATTAGCCCTAGTTTAGTCCGAAAATAACCAACTGACTGTTCGAATGACTGACTGATTGATTATATGTGGATCCTAACCAACAACGGACAAGTTAAAGACTGGACAAAGCCTTAAATAATACAGAACGGTTTCCTAATACTTGCCTGTTGGGTTTACCCGAACGGTGTGGCTATTTAACAATTATTCCTCGAGCCCGAATGGGCTTTAGTAAAATCCAACTAGTTGGTCAAAAATATCGAGACAAAAAAACTTTAGCTAGTTAAAGCTAGACTTAAATCCTTTTTTTGCCACCAAAAAGCCGGCGCTTTTCGCTACTAGTGGGCTATGTCATATAGCCTAGTAGTAGCTCAACCAATCAGAACGCAGCATTGATAATACACCACTAGTTGGATTTTACTAATAAATGTTAGCGTGGGCTTTCCCCGGCATAACCTAAGCTTTCTCTACCACAACTCAAAAGTCCCTAGTCAAGTGACCAGAGTAACCTCACAGAAAAAATTAAATGCAAAATGGGGTGTTGTGGGTGGGGTCAACTCCATTTTATTGATAAATCAAAAAATTCCTACCAGATAGAGGTCCTTGTAGATGTAAGCATACAGCCAGTCATGTACTACTACATTCCATGTACGATAGTAATCGGCGTAAGAATTTGAATTCCACCAGTCCTATGACGAGACAAGAGGAAGATACTGAAACAGTAAATCACCATTTTTGGAATTGCACACATGTTAGGCATCCTCCTGATGAACAGTTACGACATTCAGACATTTCCTATAGCGGTAATTATTGGCAGTCTGTCCCCATTGGAACCTTCATTGCAGGTATCCACAGACACCCTGGTTCCACTTCAAAGTGAAAAGACCTGCTAAGAGGGGATGGGCTCCCTCCCTACCAAATCCCACAGCTTATGAAAGGTAGAGCAGAGGTCATCGCCAGAAATTGTTACGTCTCTCGTGTTCGTTTTTAGCCTGTCCACAGTCCTTCTATTTTTTTTTCTTTAGAGAGCCTGCAAGCCCGCGAGCCTACAAAGCTGTGCCTTGGGAAACTAGAAACTAGACTGTCTAACCATTTGGAGATGTCAGAGCAAAGAAAACACCTTGTGGTGTAGGCACACGAGGGAGATGGGAACGCGTAACCTTTCTTCCTCCTTCATTTTCGCATCGTTCAAGTTCTCGCGCGATGGGAAAGCGAGGGAAGAGGGAACACGTTATATTTCTTCTTCCTTTTGCACATTCTTCGAGTTCTCGCACGAAGTGCGCGCGAGGCAAAAGGGGACGCGTCACCTTTCTTTCTCCTTCTTTTCTGCATCCTTCGTCTTTTCACGCGATGGGCTTGCGTGGGAAGAGGGAACGCGTTACCTCTCCTTCGCGTTCCATTGCGCCCTAATTCACTTTCTTCCATTTTCTTTCGAAGGCCTTCCACACAGACCAGGAGGGGAGGGAAGGGGGAGGAATTTATGCCAACAAACCTTGTAAAACATTCGGTCAGCAAAGCGGGTCATCTCTGCAAAGGCGTTTAACCACGAATGAAGTATAGCGAAGAAGCCAAGCACAAGAACCACTGTTCCCGGGAGCATACAGTTGAATACACAAAGTGTGAAATGCCTAAAAAGAAAGACATATTAAAAAATCATTAGTTTCTGTATTAATAAGTCGTGGGGTACCAAATAAAAATCATTCTCGAAAAATGCTTAATGGCTATGGCACAAGGATATAGCTGTTTTAAAAGGTCAAATCTCTGGTAGTGTCATTATTTGGTGCCTTTATCAACACACAAAATGCTCCTGTAGAGTTGCGAAGAAGATAAAAAACAAATTTCTCCGGGGAGTACTAACCACTTTTGTTTTGTTTTTTTGTTTGTTTGTTTGTTTTTTTTTTCGGTGATTTGTGTGGTGTAGCATTGAAACTCGAAAAAGCCAAATTTTTTCGTTTTTTTTAAGTTTCAATCCATGTCTGTCACCTTCCATTTTTGCCATCCGTAGCAACAGACGACTAGAAACAGTTTTAATGCCTATATAATTATAGTCTTAAATAACAAGACTGGACCATTATTTTGGGTGACAAAGCGGATCAAACTGCAGAACTCTTTCACTTTATCCTTGAAACTCGTACTTCACCAGGGGTATTCGCATTCGCAGGCGCTTAGACACTTCAGTTAATCCTTATGGGTCGTTGTTGACCTGTTAACGAGCTTTCGAACATTACGTAAATGTACTCACTTAAAGCTCCAGTTAGACTTCCCAATATCTCTGAAGACTGGAACGCAGAACCGAGCGAACACATAATAAGTATTGAAGATGCAGGCCAAAGTTTGAAATGCATTAGACACCACGTAATTCCACCTGATGTAAGGAGTCCTGAAATAGCAAACAGAATAATGTGCCAATAAGTCTTAAGATTAGTTCAAAGATGTCGTTTATATACCGTAAAATTCTCAAAATAAGCCCCGGGGCTTATATTTTTCAAAGGCCCTTTTTGAGGGGCTTATGTTCGGAGGGGCTTATCTATAGAGGGAAATAATTATTTGCGTTTCAAAATCGATTGGGCTAGCCTTGTAGTTGGAAGTAAATTGACCGTTTTTGCTTTATTTTAGTTTGTATGGGGGGCATATATTCGGAGGGGCGATTTAACGGAGGGTTTTTTGCGTTACGAGTTTGGGGGGCTTATCTTTGGAGGGGCTTATACATGGAGGGGCTTATTTTCGGAATTTTACGGTATCTGAAAAAAGATTTAGCACTTGCAAGGCCCAAAAAGCAAACGAATGCATACAAAAGATTAACCACATGATACAGACCATATAAGTTTAGTTTAGAGCTAGAAACGTGGATAAATACACCTAACAAAATTTCCTTCAAACTAATACTTAAATACATTTTGAGAAAATTATGCAGATGTATGGCCTAGTCAAGTAAGGGAGATTAGAGGAATTTTACTAAGTGGTCGATAAACGGTCAACACACAGTCACGCTGACTTTCAAACAGTTTTGTGGACTGTTGGTGCTGTACGCCATTGAGCTACAGTTTCCAAAAAGTTTGATAGAAACATATAAAATGGCATCCTTTCGTGGTCCATTTCTGACCTGTCAGTCCGTTCTGGGTGAAGTCTATCGTCCATTTCCAGTAATTCGTCTCAGAGGTAACCACAATTCCAATTAAAAAACCAAACTGATTAGTTTTGGCCCAGCGTAATATCTTGCTTTAACCAAACAACGTTCTGATTTCCTTGCTTAGTTTCACCGGTCTCTTGTCGGTCAATAAAGAGTACCAAATCAGTGGATACCAATTTGGTGCAGTTTGATTGGCTCCGGTAACTCGTAATATCCTTAGCTATTCTCCGTTTTGGGATGGGAGTCAATATGGTGTCCCGTTTCATAGCAGTTTCGAAAGAATTCATTCTAGCGTCAAATGAAGCGGCTGTACCAACAAATGCCAAGAAAGCGAAGGAATTTGGATTGTTGAGATTTACAGATAAGTAGAAAATTTTTATCCTATTGAATTTGCAACAAAACCGTGAAAATGCACTGGACAAGTCCCCAAAACACTGTCAATTATTATCTATTTTCTCTTAAGAGATAGTCAACCGCGCTTATGAAAATATTGACCGCAAGCGCTAGGGGGTGGTGAGGAAAGGAGCGCTCCGCGGGCTCAGAACGTATGTGGACAGGCTAATTCAAGAAAGTGACTTGTTAATTTTTTATCCGACTGATTTTGTAAATACTTCACTGTGAAACAACTATGGCCTTCAGGGTCGGTGCATAGCGCTAGATATATACCTCGACGCTTCATATCTCGGTATTTAGTAAAATCCAGCTAGTGGTCTATTATCAATGCTGCGTTTCTGATTGGTTGAGCTGCTATTAGGCTATATGTTATAGCCCACTAGTAGCGAAAAGCGCGGGCTTTTTGGCGGCAAAAAAGGATTAAAGTCTAGCTTTAACTAGCTAAAAGTTTCTTATTCTCGGCATTTTTAAACAAATTAGGGTTTGGATTTTTTACTAAATTGTTCAGATTCCACAGAGGTTACGGAGGAGTCACTTCCCTCCAGAAATTTTCGGTAACAAACAGGGAGCAGAAATTTTCGGTGTTATAAACCTTAATTAAATCATCAAAATTAAAGAATTATACTGCACGACAAAATAAATTATGATCAAAGTTTGCTCGATGCCATTATGGATTTATTGTATCATATTTGCCAGGACCACTGCTGTTATCTTAACAACAAAGACTCCAAAATTTCTTGACTCCACTTATCAATAAAATTTGGGTACTGATCTCTGTAGACAAGCGTTGGACAGAATAGCTGTAATCATATTGCATGCCATTATGCTATTGTATCATATTTGCTGCTGTTATCTTAACAACAAAGTCTTACATTGGGTACTGATCTCTGTAGACAAGCGTTGGACAGAATAAGAAGTACAAGTACTGGCCAAACTCTGGCAATGGCTGGTTCGTCTCTTTATCCTGAGTCTCACTAGTTGTTGCATCTTCATCGCCGTTGCCCTGATTAACTTGGTCAGAATCCTCAACACGAGTCGAAACTGTAGACACAACCAAACGTTTTCTATATTTTTTTCTTGTTTCAAATTTTAATACAGTCAAACCTCCGTAAGGTGATGTTACACGAGGCGATTCGCAACGACGATTTTTAAGCGCAACACAGCATGGCAACATTGTTGTGTTATATTGTTTCGAATGGTAACAACATTGTTCCAGCATTGTAACGCTGTGTTGCGCTAAAAATCGTCGTTGCGAATCGTCCCGTGTAACATCACCTGTAAGCCAGGGGCGGATCTAGGGGGAGGGTGCAGGGGGTGCGCCCCCAGAGATGAGCTGCGGTTTTCTAATACAACTGGTATTCTGCAAAAAAATAAACTATGTGGTTTATTGGTGTTGAAGTAGGGCAAGAAGACTAGTGCACCCCCTCCTGAAAAAAATCCTGGATCCGCCCCTGTAAGCGACCACTCAACAGAGGGTGGTCGCTCACGAGAATCGAACTATAGGCTGGGGTATCATTCTAGGACAGGACGGAATACATATACATTTTTGAAGAGAATTCGTTGCATCTGATATCTAAGTTACGATATGGCTTGTGTAGTCTCCTGTTCCCACAAATAGTACATCGCACTCGTTTAGAAGTGAAGAAAAAGCAATTAACATAAGGAATCAAACAATTTTTTCAGTGGTCGATTACAAGAAAAAGGACAATTGAAAATTGTTAAGCTTTCATCCACATAGTTGGTCGTAATCGCTGTAATTTGAGAGGTTGTTCCCATTGTAGTAACTTCACTATGAGGATTTCGGAGTTTTGGATACAAGTAGCTGACCGCTTATGGGAGCTGGTTGCTTTTGGAGGTTTGACTGCATGTCTTACACTTTCCGAATGTCCGCCAAAGCACAGCGCGCATTTACTCGGTCATGAGATGGGGTACGGTTCGTTTCGATATAAAGTCGTTTCGATACAAGTTTACTCAGTGGAGGAGTAAAAAGTTCCACTTACTTGGCTTAAAGAACGAACAGCATTCACCCAAAATGTTTTTCTTGTTCACGCGAAAACTTTACCTGAAGTGAAGGAAATTTTCGTGCAATTTCACTGCTTGAGTTCGTATCAAAACGACTTGTTTCGAAACGACTTTGAACCGAAACGACCGTTTTCCATGAGATGACGTTACTCACAATATTATTTTTTTGTAATGAAAAGCGTAAAAACAGTAGCGAGAGTTCTATACAAACTAGTCCAGTTTTCTTCATATTATTTCATTGTTTACACAAACCACTAAAACTTGCATCTTTAATGGAAACTTGTCATCAGGTTTATACTAGCCTTCCTGACCCGTACAATTTAAAGGAAACGGGTTGGGAACAATTAAAACAAAAAAAAATGTTTAAAAAGATCAGATACAAGTTGATTAATTACAGAATTTCCATAAATGTCTCTTCAACGCCTGAAGTAGAACCCGTTTGGCTTCTTGAAGTGTTAATCCTTTGAATATAGAGAGTTAGAGTTTGATTATTTTTTAACCCTTTCACTTACAGGAGGGTGTAAATTGGACTGTCTCGCATATAACAGCAATTGTTGCTGTCATAACCATACAAAAGAAGAAATTACGCCGCGCGGAGGTAAAAAATTTCTCTTCGAGTATTGAAATTTGATATCTCACGACTGACTAGTTTTAGCCTTCAAGCAAGCTTTCCGGGGCGCTCTGACAGCGGGGCGGGAAAAGGAAAGAGAGCAACTACGTCTCTGGAATTTAAATATCTGCATCGAAAAAGTCGATGCGAAATGCTGATTGGCGGAGATGACATTAGTAATGACGTCATTACCCTTGACACGTGCTTTCACGTGTTTTCTAATGTTTGTTTACATTTGCGCTCGTTTCCGCTTCGCGCTGATTGGCGGAAATCTGAAAGCTCAGTCGACGGGGAGCTACAGGGGAATTGGAGGTTGAATTTAAATTCCAGAGACGTAGTTGCAAGCTCTCCTTCCTTTTCCAGGAAAGCGCCCCAAAGGACTTGCTCACAGGCTGATATAACAGCCTCCTTTTTTCCCAATTCCTCCTCCAACAAGAAGAAGACAAAGGCAGGCTCTGCTCTCAGCATGAATATTTGGCCTTAAAGAGTTAGCTGTGGCCTCTTTTGAGGTATAACTCCATTGACACTCTCTTGCTAACAAAACAAATTACTTTGGAAGAAGCATAACAGTTTTCTTACCTACTTCTTTCTTGTGTGACAGAACCTTAGGAACATTTTCCCTTACAAAGGCATGAACTTTCAGCATAAAACGAACCTGAAAACCAAATTAAGGCAAAGAGAACTTACAGGGTACGTCAAAGAAGTAGAACAAAAATTACACCGCAAAAGGGAAAGGTATATGTTTGAGAAGGGAATTACATGTACGGTGTTACAGTGACAATCAAAAAGATTTCACTTTTAAAATTAATGTGTTCTTCCAAAACATATTCGTACTCTCCTTAAGAGACGTTTCTCTTTTTCCTTTTTTTGTTAGAACCTCCCCACTCCTACCCCTATGGAAATTCCAGTTTAACTTCAGACTTCACAACCACCCCTACCCCCTCTCGGAGATAATGGACACACCAATCCATACCTACCCCATAGTCCTCGACTTCTTAAGAAAAATTTTGATTGCCAAGCGGAGTGCATGACTTGGGGTGAACAACTTCAGTGTACTCAAGTCACAGTGCTTGCACCAATCAGTTTATTCTTTAAGTGATTTTGGCCTCATTAAGAATTATCTTTTAAGTCAACACATTCAATACATGACGTCACGGCGGCCATACTGGGATCCAAAAAACAATGAAACGGTGGCCATGTTGGTGTCCCAAACTAGTTCTGTGGGAGTTGAACTCTTTTCTTATGCAAACGCTTTCTTTTGTTTCAATAAATTTGCAAAGATGCTAGCCACCACGCGCGTGAAAACACTCTCTAGACCTGGAAATGGTATTTTTGACCTTTCGACGAGTTTACAGATGTAGTTTGTATTTGTGAATGTGCTCATACATGAAATGATGTGGATGAGATCGGAGGACAATGGATGTGTCCTCTTTACATTACAATTATGTTAACATGTTAATGGGCAAGCTCGGACGTCAGCATAAAGGGTGCCACTAGCAGCCACTATCAGTTCCAGCCTAGATATGAATGATATACAGTGTGTATGCGAGGTAAACCACACTTCCAGGGTAACTTCCCTTACCCTCTTCAAACACTACTGTGGGATCTTTTATGTCCCCTTTGATTTCACCTGAATGAAAGAAGGATGAATGAGACAAAGCCAACAGTTTAACACCACTGCCCAGTGGACTACAGCCTGTGTTGCAACCGGATATGTCTCATGAGAACTAGATAAAGAACAGTCTGGATGTAGTCCTTCTAGAATGTCTGCAAAGCAGGCTAAAGAGTGGAGCTTCCATTTCAGTGACAAAAAGTACTCTAAAATGTATTTAGTCATGGGCGCGGCTGTTGTTGGCTGAAATGAAATATATACAGTTAATTACCTGTTCTGCAAGTATGATAATAGAAGATGCAGGAGGTAGGTTATGTTGACAGACTTCCTGAACTGGGAATATGGCAAACACAATCAAGTACGTTATGTACAGAATAAACCAGGCCACATCAGGCAATGGCATCCACGAATGCCTGTTTGAATGCCATGCCATAAAAATGGGAAAGGCTGACATAGCCATGACTTTCATAACGAGCCAAATGCTGACCACGGTTGAAGGCTTTCCAAATGCCCATCTTAGAATTGACAGATCAAGTGTAAGACTGAAAGAAAGCAAAAAGGGATGTACCAGTCAGTCCATTTAAGATGAGGTTTTCTCAATACTAAATGGTGCTCACACGTGAGCCAGAGTCATTCTGGCAGGAAAATGTGATAGCCGTTGTCATTCTATAACAAGTTTTAACAAGAGTCTTGTAGTGGTGGAAATAACTTCTACATTACAGGTGTAGAAGTTTTATTATTTTTAACGTCTTCCAATAAAGATAACAGTGCTAACTTTTCTGGTGAAAAAAGTACAATTAAGCTTTCTGGGGTGTCTATTTTTTGATAATATACGCGAAAAAATTTAAATCAAATCTCGTACTCGTCTACAGTCATTCTCGTCCTCAAATCTAACAACAATTAAATCCACATATTTAATTAACACAACATTTTTTTTTACTGTTGGTGAGTAATGGCCTCATAAAATGTCTACCTCAATTTAAAAGAATCATGTTGCCAAAAACAGGTATGTTAAATAAAAATAAAAATAATAAAATAATAATAATAATGTAATAAATAATATTTTAAGAGGAGGCCTCCAATCACCTATAAAGGTGGTTTCTGGAGGATCCTTCAAAATTAAGATAAAAAATAATACATTAAAATAAAACTAAAATATGGCTAAAAACTAAGGTTTAAAAGTAGGACTAAGGTTAAAAAGACTAACTAAGGTTCGAAAGATAAAAATACTAAGATTCAAAACTAAGACAAAAATAAGTACTACAGGTAATTACAGTTCGAAATAGTTTAATGATACATATGTACATGTACGTTACGCACCTTCCTTTATCGATGTAGTCATAAACTACAGTGTTGATGATTAACACTATAAGCAAGGCTACAAAAATGTTGTAGATTGTCTTGATATGGTTTACTTCAAGAAGCTCCCTGGAAGGAAGGAAGGAAGAAAGAAAGAAAATCAGCCTTCACAATAATTTATTATTTAAGGATTTCAAAGCAATGCATTGTTAAAAAAAATCCATACTACCCCCTACAGAGGGATCTTGGTTTCAACCCTCCCCTCCCCCTTTCCCGAAGATGATGCTAGTTTACATGTAGCTTCATAATTTCCTTAAAAAATTCAGCATGCAAAGAAAATTGTGTGCCATAGCCCAGGGCTAGTGAATTTTGCTATCGGATTATTAGTGAATTCTGTTATTATGAACTTGCAAAGTTTTAGGGGGAATTCAAATAACAGAAAACCCATAATAAACCTTGCTCATCAAAAATTTTTACAGGCTAGTTAAAATGGCTCTTTGGCTAGTTAATGCTATAGCTACCATAACAGCCAGCTGTAAAACTGACCTTTTTTTGCACCCTGAATTTTGGCCTTTAAATGCCGAATCTCTCTCTTAGAATTTCCAATGACCCTAGATCGGTTGGATATGGATATTGTCCCAGCAGTAAACTGTTAGTTTTCAGCCTGGGAGGGGTGTGGGGGGGTTACTGCTATAATTATATGGGCTATATAGGTATGTGCCGCTGTGAAGGGTATGGTTTTTAAGCAGTTTACTCTGGGATACGGTATATAAATCAGAGAGTTTGGGTCTAGAATAGGGTATCATTTTTCAGGAAACTGATCAGTTGGTTGAAGATTTTGTCTAGACTAGGGAAACAGCTACTCTAGGATAGGGGGATTTTGGGAGTTTACTCTAGTACAGGGTAGCAAAATTCAGCTGAACTAGCTCTGGCATAGGTTAAGGGTTCCAGGGTCCCAGCAGCACATCCCCACCCCGAAATTCCTAAAGTACCCCCCAGGGTTTTTCAGGTACACTGTCGGTTTGCATACACAAAGCAGCAGGCAAAGATGTCAATGGGAAACATTGCAAACCCTTTTTCAAAGAAACTATTTCATATAATGCTTTTTTTCTGTATCTGTGACTACAGTGTTTACCATTTACAACAAAAATGTGTTTTTGACAATGTCACACGAGAACTAAATTTATCCACTCACTAAAAATTGAAAGTATAAACCCAAAAGAGCTGCTACATGTACGTGTAGAGCTAAAGAGGAGACTGAATGTCCAAACTTTCTTAAGGTCTCGGTAAAGGAAAACGAGGTGCCCACAGAAAAAAATTCTAGTCGCGCGAGTATTTTCGCTACAAAGGCAAGTTATATATCAAATTAAAGCTAAAAGACTAAATTACCTTATGAAAGATTTTATTTCATCGAATTTCAAAAGGCGCTTAAGTTTTTTGCTCTCGAACTCAGAGGTATCGAGTTTACTGCTGAAGCTCCAGCCCTTTTCGCGTTGTTAAATATTCACTTCCTTTTTATTGCATCTGATTGACAGATAAAAGACCTAAAAAAAAGGGTGTGAGGAAATTTGCATATGTCTCGTATTAGTGGAATTATTGCATTTCAAACTAAAAAGTCGAATCTCGAGCGCGATTATTTTTAAAGAAACTGGCATAATATGAGTTACAAAGGGAAATCGGAAAATTCCTCACACCCTTTTTGAGTCTATATCATTATCCATCATATCTGAAAGTTTCAAAGCGATAGCTTAAAACCTGTCCCGACTGGAGGTCGGAGAATTTTGATTTTTGCGTCTAAAATAGAGTGAGAGAAAATCAGCTCTAAAGATTTAGCGCGAGGTCCACGCTTGGCTGGTTAGCTCAGAAAAGGCTCATTTTAGAAGGGTTAAAAAGCACTTTCTGATTTTCTTTTTCTTCCAAAATAAAATTTAGGACCCACTCATGCCAAAAATCCCAAAAAAACAAAATCGAGCAATGTACTAAAATTTTCATTTACCGAGACCTTAAGCAGCAAAAGTAATAATTTTCCAAAATAACTGAACAAATCTAGCCTCTTTAATTGAATTGAACTTCTGGTTTTCTCATAAAGGGTTGTATGGAATAAGTAGCCAAGAGAGTCTTGATTTAACACCAAAGTCTGCTTAAACTCAACCAAAGAGTGAACGATACATACTATGCTACTTACGTCAGTAGAGACTGCCGTGGAACAAACACCCTACTTCCATTTAATTTGTCTCTGCAATAAGAAAAGCCAATGAATAAATGAATTAATATTTAAAAATGACAGTATGACAACGCAAAGTTGAAGCAGCCAGCTTGGCTGCACAGAGTTAACTGTAATGAAATGTATTATTTATCACTCTACACACATCTCTTTTTAATCATCTTGATACATTTTAAACCCACTTAAATATTGCATTTATTCAACCTTGAGGCCCTGTCCATGTACATCTATACAGTCATGTACATAAACAAGGTGACAGGAGATTAGCACTTTAATTAGATATTTAGGGTGCTGTAGTAGTATTAATAATAGGTTGCCAAAAGGCAACTTTGAAACAATGGTGCTACCTTGTATTTTATGTTGCAAGGTCAATACAGAACCCATGCCTGAGCCAAATTATTGTTTTTTTCTTTCTTGTTATTGATGGTTTTCTGGGTTCTCCTGCCGTGGTTGTACTGTCATGCATCAATGCTTGTTAAAAGAGTAGTTTTCACGTTTGAAATTCTTGAATTAATACTTCTACCAGGTCATCGCAGCAGAGATTCCATGAGATAGCGCATGCGCATAGCTGGTCAATTTTGTGCTTGCGTCGCCATTTTGGCAAGGCTGGTCTGTTAGCCCATCACAATCCGGTGTCTATCTTCACCATCGTAAAGTTATATTTCTTATTTATCATACATCGGCAATCTTTGCGAAGCAAAGTTTATAACTGCCGTGTTTTTTCATTCACTAAAAATGCCTACGCCGGGTTCCGGCGTACTTGATGAAATCCTTGATGTGACCAAGGAGTCACTGACCGAGTCAAATTAGCGAATTTGACAAGAAAAAAGGAACTACGCTTACAGGATCGTCTCGATCTCCAAAACAACAATCCACATCTGCGCAAACACGAGTCAGGCTGCTGACTCTGCTGAAGGCGAGGGAGAAGCTAGGCTTCTCCACAAACTCGACCTATTGACAAGCCTCGTGCAAGACATGGTGCCCGTTGTCAAAACTTTACAAGAGTCTCACGATGCCTTGCTATTGCAAGATGTGGATGATGTCAACGCTCGCCGTTGGCTGAAAGCGAGAATGAGGAAGGGCCTCCGCCAAAGCGACCCAGAATCACGCCACAACCGGACGAACAACCCCGTTCCAAAACGACAGATACTACTGGCAAAGTGGATTCACTTGTCACCGAAGTGACCGAGGGCGAAGTCACGGGGCCAGCGATTTCGGAAAAAATCGCAAACGTTCTTAACAACATCCTCGCCAGTGGTCTTAATGATCAAGCCACTAAGCGGCGAAAAGAGAACATTCATAGGCCCACAAACAGCACATTACTTGCCCAAACTCGTGTCAATTCCGAGATTTGGGACATCGCTAAAAAGCCAACACGAAGCATGGATGCTAGACTTCAAGCTTTGCAAGACACCCTGATTAAAGGGCTTATTCCTCTTGCAGACATGACAGGAAAAGTGGGTGAATCTTTGGATTCAGGCGCTGCAATGCCAACCAAAAGAGACCCTATGGGAAGCTCTATCAATTCCCTTCTTCTTTGCGGCGGCTAACCACAGCTTGAATATTTGCCGCCGTGACTTGTTCAAAACAGATTTAGATGACAGCTACAAGGCCTTGTGTAATAACAAGCACCCAATTGGAAGTGAACTGTTTGGTGACGACCTAGCGAACGGCTGAAAACAGTTACCGAGAGTAACAAAGCAGCCAAACAGCTTACAAGATCCAACAAGCCAAGTTCTCAGAAGTATAAAGGGCCATCACGGTCTTTTTGGGCCAAAGGGGCGCAACCAGCGCCCCCTTCAACCAGTACAGCAACCATGGCAGAGGCTATCAGAGGAGCAATCACCCCTCATACAGGAAGGAACCTCGCAAAAACCGAGGCGAAAACAATGAAACAGACTGTGAAACAGTCATGACTCAACCTAAGGTAAGCTCTGTACCCACCCTTATTACTGGTGGAAGAATTAAGAATTTTCTGGCCAAGTGGCAAGAAATTACCTCTGACAGAACTATTCTGTCCATCGTACAGGGCTACAAACTTGAGTTTTATGACATACAGCCTGTTCAACTAGGTAGAGTTAGACCTACCATTCTGTATACTGAGGCAGCAGTGGCCTTAGATCAGCAGATTCAAAATTTTTTGTCTAGGGGTATCATTGTTGAGTCCCAACATGAATCCACCGAATTCATATCCCCGTTTTTCTCCGAGCTAAGAAAAATGGGAGTTTCAGAATGATTCTGAATTTGAAAGAATTCAATCGCTTTATTGCTTACCATCATTTTAAGATGGATAATATTGAAACCTGTGTTCACTTGATGAAACCTGGGTGTTTTATGGCATCTATTGATCTTTCAGATGCTTATTTTTCTGTACCTGTTGACCGGTCACATCAAAAATATCTTAAGTTTTTATGGAAAGGAAAGCTTTATCAGTTTACTTGCCTTGCGCAGGGCCTTGCCTGTGCTCCCAGAGTGTTCACCAAATTACTCAAACCTGTGTATGCATACCTCCGACTCAAAGGACATGTTTCTAGTGGGTATTTAGACGACTCCTTTTTAGAAGGAGACACTAGTGTGGCCTGCTCATCCAATGTCCAGGATACCTTAACCCTTTTAGGGGACTTGGGTTTCTGCCCTAATTTGGCTAAATCAGTTGTCCAACCTACACAGATCCTTGAACATCTGGGTTTTATTTTAAATTCCTTAGACATGTCTGTTAGCATAACAGATCACAATTTTGGCAAGCTACTTGCCTCAGCACATCAGGTATTGCAATCTACATCTGTTCCTGTTAGACTGGTTGCTCGTTTAGTGGGCATTATGGTATCTTTTTTCCCTGGTGTAGAGTATGCTAGACTTTTTTACAGACAACTTGAGATTGAAAAATCAACTGCTCTAAAAAATTCCAACTGGAATTTTGAAAGTCCTATGATGTTGTCTGAAACAGCAAAAAATGACATAGTCTGGTGGATGAACCATGCCAAAACATGCAAAAGGAAGATTAGTCATGGGAAAATCACAAGAGAACTCAAAACAGATGCCTCTACCCAAGGGTGGGGAGCCTTTTCAGATGGGATTTCCACAGGTGGCAGGTGGTCCCCGGAAGAAGCTCAACTGTATATTAATGCCCTAGAGCTCCTCGCTGTTTTTTGGGGCCTCAAGGCTTTATGCCCTTCAGAACATCACTGCCACATTAAAGTTCTGTCTGATAATACCACCACTGTATCATATCTGAGGAACATGGGGGGATCCCATTCTACCCCTTGTAATGATATCTCCAGAGACATATGGCTTTGGTGCAAGGACAGAGATATCTGGATCACACCTGCACATATCCCTGGGGTCGAGAATATCGAAGCAGACTCTGCTTCCCGGGTTTTTAATGACAAAACAGAATGGAAACTAGACCAACCAGTGGTGTCAGAAATTTTTTCCTTATTTGGCAAACCTGACCTTGATTTATTCGCATCCAGACTTAACCATCAACTGTCTCGTTATGTTTCATGGATCCCTGATCCTAATGCTGTTGGAGTAGATGCTTTTACATTAGACTGGGGAACACAATATAACTATGTTTTTCCTCCCTTCAGTTTAATTTCACAAGTTCTACAAAAGGTGGAGGAGGATCAAGCAGAAGCAATCATGATAGCCCCTCATTGGCCAACACAGTCCTGGTTTCCCAAATTAACAAGACTTCTGGTGCAGACCCCAGTGCTACTCCCCAATCGTCCCAACATCGTACACCTCCCCTTCAACCCAGGGAAAGAACACCCATTGGGGCAAAACTGCTGCTGATGGCATGTCACTTATCAGGGAAAGTCTCCAAAATAAAGGCATTTCAGCGAGGGCTCAAGAGCTCATTCTGCAGTCCTGGAGGAAGGAACCCAGAAACAGTACCGAACATACTTACAGCGGTGGACCACATTCAGCAGTGGACGGAATACTGATCCCATTCAACCAGCTATATCAGAAGTCATAGATTTCTTAACTGAACTGTTTGATAGTGGACTCGGCTACAGTAGCCTGAATACTGCTCGTTGTGCTCTATCATCTGTTATCCACCTAGATGATAACAAAACTGTGGGTTCTCACCCATTAGTTAACGTTTTTTGAAGGCTGTATTTAACAATAGGCCTAGTATACCTAGATACCAGTGGTCTGGGATCCCACAAGCGTTTTGACATACCTTCAAACATTTCCACCGCTGGAAAGCATAAGCCTTAAAGAGCTTACCCATAAGCTAGTTATGTTAATAGCACTGGTTACAGGTCAGCGATGTCAGTCTTTCCATCTTATGGATATTACTAGTATGCAGAAAAATACTGACCACTATAAATTTATTATTAAGGATATTGTTAAGCAGTCAGCTCCAGGCAGGAATCTACCAGAGCTTATCCTTCCTGCCTTCCCAGCAGATGGCAGGGTTTGCGTTTACTCAGTTCTCTCAGAATACATTAAGTGTACTGCACCCCTTAGAGGTGGAGAAACCAGACTCTTTATTAGTTTTGTTAAACCCTACCAGGCCGTGTCTAGGGACACTATTTCACGTTGGATTAAGAATGTTATGATCAAGGCTGGTATTGATGTGGAAGTGTTCAAACCCCATAGTACCAGAGCTGCTTCTACCAGCAAAGCAAATGCATGCCAGGTGCCTATAGATGTGATTCTTAAGGCAGCGTCTTGGAAAGGAGATTGCACTTTCCGTAAGTTTTACAACAAACCTATTGAAGATAATGTTTCTCGTTTTGGCCAAGCTGTTCTTGGTACCAGCATTAATGTATAAGCCTAGCTTTCTAGGTCTTGGTTTTTCTACTACAGTTAATAAACTAGGACACCAGTTGTGTTTTATAGGTGTTCCTTGTTTATTTTGTCTTCGTGTCCATATGGCTTTGAAATCTCATGGAATCTCTGCTGCGATGACCTGGTAGAATTGTAAATTAAACGAGACTTACCTGTAAGGTGAAGTTTGATTGAGGTTCTACCAGGTCATCACAGCAGCAGAGATTACATGCCCTCCCAGTTGTTACCCTCCCTGGTTTCATACTCAGCCCATATCCTGTTATGGGCCTACTGGGTCTTCTTTTTATTACATACGGACACTCAGTGCTTTTAATATTGACCAGCTATGCGCATGCGCTATCTCATGTAATCTCTGCTGCTGTGATGACCTGGTAGAACCTCAATCAAACTTCACCTTACAGGTAAGTCTCGTTTAATTTACAATTTTCTTTAGTTAGGGGTGTTTGGGGCATTGTAATTTCACAGATGAATAATTCTGACACAATGCCACAAGTTTTGGACAAAGGGTTATCATGTAGCTATTGACAAACATGACGGTCTCAATAAAAATCAAAACATAAAGCAAATGAGATACAAAATGTATTAGAAATAAACCTCCATATCTAAACCAAAAGACAAACTACATGTATGTTACCCTATAATGGCCCAGTGATTGAACATGACTGTTAGGCCTTTTGGAAACTTCATGTTTTTACCATATTTATGTGTGCCAAACTCAGTTGATTAAATAATATAATTTAAGCACAGAAGTAGTGCAACGATTGAAACGAAGTTGTGCTACTGGCTAGCACGACAAGCTTTACCATAGTACAAAATGCCTGCACATGCCTAAAGAGGTGTATAGAACTCAATTTTAAGATTCTAAACTAGACTTACACATTTTAACAGTTTGCTAAATCGGGATTTATGTTTTGTTTTCAGCAGCTACTTTTATTCGACTGAAAGAAATCTGATTTCTGAAACTGAGCGGTTGTATACTCAAGTCTTGCTTGAGAGTCAAAAAAGCTTAGCATGGCAGTATGTAGCACCACATCATTTCTTACTAAATTATATAGATAAAAAACACTTTGTATCAAAGGGATGATTGAAAATCCTACACGAACACATTCAGCAGCAAAATAGATCAAACCTGTGGTCATTTGTTATTCACTATGATAAGGACGACTACAAATTTCCAATGAAAAGTGATGACTTTTTTTATAACTCGCATCAAAGCTTGTATCAATATAGATCTCAAAATTAATTAAATGGCTGTTGGCTTATTTTTAAGAGTTCTGCATTTGACAAATTTGTGCATGTATAGATCTATTACTTTTAGAGTTCTAAAAAAATGTTCCAAATTAAGACACCTTTGAAAGAATTATTTTTGAAACAACATTGTTTTCAAACAAAAGATTCAAGGCAGTATAATAATGAACTCTTAATATTTATGAGCAGGGAATTATGTCGTGACACTTTCCTTGCTACAGTGTAGTCGAAAACAAACAAAAGGTAAAATGTCAATCCTGCAATAAACATTTCTAACAAATCCAAAAACGTCCAGGACGGTGGAAATTTACTTTTATGAATTACAACTTGAGTAAAATAAGGCTACGTCTTTCATAAAACTTCACAGATGGAACTCATAAGATATTAGCTTAAAAGAATAACTTCGAAAAGATTTTGATCTTTGGATATTTTCTCAGCACGTAAATAAGTTAGATCTATCATAAGTTCGCTTTCGAGTTCATGTAAAATTTCATGCAAAACAGAGCATTTTTGCAATGCTGTGAACCATAAATAGAGTGAAACCGACGCTTTCTACGCTTGAACTGATGTTGAACGCACGAGTGAAGAGGGTAATCTAAGCTTATAAGCATTATGATCTCTCAGGAAATAAACTAAGATATTTATATGACATTCATGTGATCTCCCATTAAGTTTCAAATAAGTTAATGGTGATGCCAAATAAGTTCACTTCCTTGGGGCTTTGAATATCCACGTGCCTAGGACTATTGTTTACTTTACTTCAGTAAACAGAAAAATACGTACTCTGAACTAACCTAGTGTGGTTTTTAGAAGGATCTGTTGTGGGTTCTAAGTGATCTACATCGTGTAAAACATCGTCTAATAACTCGTTCAGCTGGCCATCAATCTGCTCTACTAACTCCGTTCTCAGTTGCTAGAGATAAAATAGAAAAAAATTAGAAACTCAAAATTTACCGAGGTCACAGAGATTAACCTTAAATTTCAAAAGCTTAGGCCAGCTTGAACCCAGAGACGTGTAATATTTCGTTTTCAAACCTGTGCACAGCGAAGCAGCTGTTCAAAAGAAACCTCAGCAGTAAAATAAGCTTGTATTACTCTTAAATACCACGATTCAGTTGTTATGAAGTGAAAACACACTGCAGTGTATATCTCGCTCCTGCATAGAGTTTCAGTTTGATGATTTAGTAGACTTCACCATCTTTAAAAAAAAAATGACGATTGCATAAATCTATAAAACCCAGACCCGCACGGTACAAAAAAGACTACAAGATTTAAACAACTGCAAAGTTTTTTCAATCATTTCACGTAAATATGTGCAAGATTACACGTCACACAAAATTATGTAGATGTAGATGTACGTTATACCTCAGCACGCTGGCGGAGTTGATGGATTCGTGCGCGACTTATTTCGTCTTTTTTATCCAAGAAATTGACCCCTACAAAGACAACATTACATTCATTAGTTCCTACACTTTTAGGGAACGGGGAAATATATTTGGGAAAGTCCAAAGCACCTCCATTTGTCTCGTGAGTGACTCGTCTCCTTAAATTTGCGGCCATTGCTGATGTTGTAATCTGTCTCTCTTTTTCCGCTTTGCAACCACCCCTTTTCATTGACCGGAAAGACCATCACGCAACCTCAAGCAAAATCCGGAAGCAGGCGGGCGGGGTGGAGGGGACGGGGGGCGGGTTGTTTACTTCCGAGGAATAGACTAATGGCCTGTGCCGCCGGATGGGGGTCGCAGTTGATTATAATGGGGTTACATTTTCAATAGAATAATTAGAATGGGGACGCACATTTTCGGGATTCTGGGGGACAGAAAATTCAGGTAGGTAGGCATTTAAAAGTATGAAGATTTACTACATTTTAATGTTCTAAAAAGTTTAAAAGTTTTACAAATGTGTCGACTCATTTCAGGATGACCTAGTTAAAAGGCTTCAAAAGGTAGATGCATAAACAGAAAGTGACAACTTCAGTAAAAATAAAACACAAACTGCAGTAACAATAAAAAATGAGGAAACAACGCACGTTGCAAAAAAACTAAGATTTTAAAGACTTGACGTTTCGTATGTAGCAACATACATCTTCAGAAGTGACGGTTAAAGAGATTACAGTAAAATTAAAACACCTAGAAAAAGACTGGAGCCTGATAAACAGGTAAAAACAATAATTAATAATGATGATGACAGACAGGCCATAACTCGGAGCGAGCAACTCCCATACTAGGCCTATGTCACGGCGTTTTTTACGGACCAGTTTAACTTGAAGTCTGCAGGAAATTAATTATTTTAATCTTAGTTAATCTTTTCAGGAAATTAATGTTAATGATAGTTTGAACTGATTTCTTAGAATTTTCATGGCCCATGAAATCAATGTATATAGTTTCGAGGCCCAACATGGCACATATTTAGTGGTATATTCATGACCCATGAAATCGAAATTATCTTTTTTCTTTTTTCACGACCCCTGAAATCTTTGAGTTTAATTTTCATGGCCCATGCAATCTATAACACACCAACTTTTCATGGCTCATGAACCCTAGTGCCAGATATTTCATGGCAATTTCATGAGCCATGAAACCCGTTATCAACTTTTCATAGAAAATTCATGGCCTGAAAAATAGGCCATGAACTGATGAAATATCCGTATTCAGGGCCCTGAAAAATGCTTTCCTGGGTTTTTAATGTCATTTTCATGGGATTTTCATAACATTGCAGTTCACAGTGCTGTTTCATCATGTTTGTTACCGTAGTTTGTGTTATAATTTTACTGAAGTTGAAATGGCCAAAGAATAAGAGCGTTTAGAAAGTGACAAAATTGGGATCGTGAAAATCACTTTTTCCCAAAAGTGACTAAGATGGGAATCTACAATTAGCCACAGCATAGACTATAATGTCATACCAATTTAAGCACTGAAGCACACGTACCAACTACGCAGTATGGCCAGTAACTCACGCATGCGCACAACCACATCTGTTTATTATAGCTGTCCATGGCCCACTACCGGGGTGATATGGTTGTGTGCATGCGTAAAGTACTGGCCGTACTGCGGAGTTGGTACCTGTGCTTCGGTGCTTAAATCGGTTTTGACTATACGCCACTTACACATTTCCCATAATGCACCTTGTTTGCCCCTCCCCCCCTCCCCCTCCTTCCCCAAATTTTGCATTACACGAGCATTGTTTTCGATTTCTCTTGGGACGGCTATAAAACCCAGGAGAAATGAAAAACAAAGGTTATGCAAAATTTTGGGGGGGTGCATTATGGGAAATGTGGAAGTGGCGTATGATGTGGTAGGGGTCTGAGAGGCCAGCGGCACCAAACTCGTCCCCAGGGTCGAACCCTGGGGACGAGGTTGCCAGCGGCACATACCCAGAAAAATTAAACCAAGGGAACACCCCAAGGCGCAAACTTCAAAAGCCCATCCCGTGTGAAGATAAAGAGTTGATAACATACTTCAAGTTCTTTCTACAGAACAACGCACTTGACCTAAAGTTTTTATTTTCACCCACTTTAGTGAATATAGTAAGGTCGCCTATTTTCTAATTGCAAAATGGAATTATGACGTTCATCACCACCGAAATTCTCTTAATTGATAGAAGGCTATTGATATAACCTGGTGAAGTCAGACTAAAGCCGACATTACTTTTTAATAGTTTCCCAGATAGTTTCATGTAAACAATTTTGCACGTGACGGAGACCTGGTTCTTAGATTATCTGTGGCTCTGTAAGCTCCTAAATTATGTTTGCCAGTTTGCCACGTGACACTTGACATTTGAATTTTCAATGCATCAGGAGATATATACCGCCCCCAAAAATTAAACCTTGACGCCTTTTGCTTTGTTTTCAGCTTGTGACCGTGAGGATAGAATACCTACTGCACGAACATATACTGTGACAGACCATTAATATTTTTAACTGATCGTGTTTGCTTTCCCACTCACGCTTGTTGCCGTTTGCATAAGTGTAAATTTTAGAGAACAAATTACAATAAAATGTACAATTTTAGATATTAACATGTAGTTTCAACAAGCTATTTTATAATAAAAGTGTCACTTATGACCTTCAATTTTCTGGCCTGTCTTTTTCGTTTCTAAGGGCCAATTGCGCGAGCCAAGAATCATTACGTCATTAATTGAATTGTTTCGCGCAATAAAAATTTGAGCGCATTAAACTGAGCATATATCAGAAGACCTCGCGATGAACTTTCAAACGAAATAACGATGGATTATCTTCCCAATCGGCGTTTTCTTGGGATTGTGGCGTTAGGTTGCGGTGTGTATGTAGCTAGAGAGATGTACGTGATGTATTACATGAAACCTTGGAACAGGGAAGAACACGGTTATGAGAGACCACCACCAGATGGCAATTTTCCGGATCTGCGCCTTCACAATAATTTGATGGCAAATCACCTCACTCCAGATCTTTACAATTCACTAAGGTAAGCAAATAACTAGCATGTACTAAGTAATTATTTGAGTAATTATTGAGAAGTATGGGTCAATATATCCCCCGCGTCCCCGACATCCTCGCTTGTATGATTATATTGGCATTATTATGCTTCATGATCACTGATTCGTATTGGGCTCTTTGTCCAAGATTGATCAGCAAACATCTACTCCCGTTTCAAAAAACGGACTCGTGGATATTATCCCTGGAAATTACAAATGAAATCAATTTACAAGTAAGCGTCACCAACGGCTTGCAGACCAAATGGAATAATATTTTTTAAACACTTTAGAGGAAATTATGCTAATCTGATTAATAGCTAAATTACGTGTTTTTCTGGGTATTTTAATAATAAAAATGAAAAGTTACGAGCTAAGCTAAGGCAGGCAGTGGAAATGCCGTAAACTGCAGTATATACCCCCCACCCCTCCCCCTAGTTATTCAACAAATCGACCACAATTTCCCATAGTCTATACTCTTATAGACCATAGAAATGACATCATAAAATGTTCAAAACTCAAGTGGAACCACCAGCAGCAAGCGAGTGGTCTCACTGCAAAGTTTTGAACATTTTATGGCCTCATTTCTATAGTCTATGAGAGTGTAGACCGTGGAAAATTGCAATCGATTTGTTTTTTACAATAACATTTATTTTTAGTTTATTGCGAAGTTCCTCGGAAAATCACACGTGACATGCTACACCATCAGCGCGCGAGGATTCGCTAAGTCATTGTCAAAAAGGTCTTTCTACCTGTAAACAAAAAATACATCAGATTGAAGAGTACAAACATTAACCACAAAAGACGCAAAGGACCGCAAACGAATATGCCGAAGAACGTAGGATCTATAAAGATCTGCAGGGCCCGGTTGCATAAAACCTACACTTAAGTGCACACTTAAGTAGGTCACTTATGAATCCGTTATGGGTACTCTTACGTGTGTTGCATGGAACGCACTTAGCACTCTTGTAAGTTTCTGTTTTACGTGGCATTTTTCCCGTAAAAAAGGTTTTATGCAACACCTGCAATTTCTGTTGCATAAACGACACTTAAGTGAACACTTACAAAAATCGTAAGTGCAACCACTTGAGTGAATTCCCTAAGTGGACCACTTAAGTAATTTAATGCAACTGACTTAAGTTACGAGTGCACGTACGCGTACCCGAAGTTGTTACGGGCGTTTTATGCAACCAGGCCCTGATCCGCAAAAATGAAAAGTAGACATATTAAATTCTGCAAGCCGAATACTGCAATGCTGATCGTACTATGTGAAAATTAACTCTGCAAATTAACATCCTGTATTTTAGTCTTAAAGTCTGCAAAAAAACTGGTACGAAAAAAGTCCGGCAGTGCATTCCACTGCTTAGCTGAAAAGTAAGAAAAGGAGTTAAGACCATAGGTAGTTGTTTTAGGCTTACTTAGTGAAAGAATGTAGTTGCCACGAAGATCATAGGAAGAGGACCGGAGTGAAAACATATTCTTCATATAAGTAGGAAAATGAGTGAAAAACAAACTCTTATATAACAGAACGAGGAAATTTTGAATGCGTTTGTTAAACAAAGAAGTAGAGCTGACTTTTGAGAGAAGAGTGTTGTATGGAGACGAGTAATCTCCAAGTATAAATCTAAGTATTCTTTTATTTAAAGCTTTAAGCTTATCCGCATCGCGCGCTCCACAAAAGTGCCAGACAGAGGAGCAATAATAAAAGTGAGGTAAAATATACGCTTTGTAAAGTTTGAATGAGATTTCCTTGGGTTGAGTTTTCTAAAGCGCAACATAACATTAAATTGATTATTAATCTTTTTGCATACATTTGATATATGTTTAGAAAATTTCAGATTATTATCTATTTCCATTCCAAAAATCTCTAACGTGTCCTTTACTGGGAAGGAAAAACCATACTCCGTATCACCGAGGATTAGACACTGGTGCTTGCTCTCATTAACTAACATCCCATTTTCATGGTACCACTGGTTGGCCACGCCAACATCATGAGATACGCATGCATCCAGAGCTGCAGTATCGACGTGGGAGTAGTATACCTGATGATCATCCGCGTAAGCGTTCAACTCATTGTCTGGTTGTTACGCCGTACTGACGAGCCCCAAAGAGGACTAAACAGCTGTCTATGGCAACAATTAATCCCGTTCTGTTTTGAGTTCTTTCGGTGTCGTGTTGATGTGTCCAGAGTTAATTTACACGTAGTACGATCAGCATTGCAGTATTCTGCTTGCAGAATTTAATGTCTATGAGATTTTAGGCCGGCTCCCGGATGTAAGCTCCCACTTTAGCTTGTATTGAAGTGAATTCGATTTATCATTATGAATTTTTGAAGCTTAATCAAATTCGTTAATTGTCACGTATCGTTTGATCAGTACTGCCATAGCCCGTTGTGAAGCACTTTTTCTATTCCGGTTATAAGCTCCCTCCCTGTATAAGCAACAGTTTACGGTATGTACAAAGCCTGGTCATGTGGCTACCAAATGGATTTTCCTGATGGCATTTCTGCTAAAACAGGTGTTCTCTCGCAAATGACGGCTGAGAGTTTGGCATGGCTTTGTTGCTCGTAGCAACAAAGAAAAATTTTAGACCGTGATAATCCGTCTTGAATGACATAATAACTCTTTCGTTCTTAGCAGTTAGGTTGTACCTCTTTTTCTAATTCGTTTCGAAATATATGTTTTTTGTGGACAAATGAAGTATTTCCTCTAAAATTAATTGGAATGCCCGAGATCATGACGAACAAGACCAGAATAACGATTAACCATATGGTAGAAGCTCGCCTTTGCAAAAGTTTTAAAACAAAACACGTTAAAACATTCCTACATCTCTTTTTGTTATTTCTGAAGGTGGGTGATTATTAAACGAATATTTCAAGTCGACATAGTATATCATCGTTGAAAAAATTAAACCAAGTGCAGGGGCGGATCCAGGATTTTTTTGAGGAGGGGGTGCACTCGTCTCTTGCTCTACTTCAACACCAATAAACCACACCCCGCCCCTGAAGTGAGATATTTTCCATGATATGCAGATGCTTACATTGTTTAAATTATATTCCAAACTGAACTATATTCTCAGCCTGATTCTGAGAGAGCATAAATGAATTGAAGTTCTCATAATAGCTTATACCCATGAATCCATTTTAAAAAGGTAACAATTAATTGAAATAGTCCCTCATAGACTAGCAACATTTTCCAGGAATTGCGTGTGGAAGGGGAAGCCGGAATTTTGGAGAGGGGCATGTCATATATAAAGAACGAGTGAGCGAATGAAACACCCAGCTAGTCGCTTTAATCAGTGACGCCTTCCGTGTATGACAAGTCCTTCAGCAGTTGCTGACCATTAAACTTAATTGCAACTTATTAACTTAGCAAAATAAAGAATAAAGGCATCCTTTAAATTGTTATTCTACTTAATATACTATTTAATTATCCAAAATAGAGTGACACACTCATGTAATTTAAATTTCCTTTATTAGGAACAAGACTACCGCAAAAGGATTCACCCTCGATAAAGCCATTCAGGTTGGAGTGGACAACCCTGGAGTTCCATGGCAACGGGCATCCGGGATAGTAGCAGGAGACAGAGAGTCTTACGAAATGTTTGCTCCACTATTTGACGAAATCATTCGAGAATACCACGGATACCGAAAGACTGATTTTCATTCTAGAGACCTGGACAGCCGCAAGATTGTGGGCGGCAAACTTAGCAGTGCCTACGTACTTTCAGTACGATTGCACACGAGGCGGTCGATTCAGGGATATAGTTTACCGGCTGGATGTTGCCGAAGTGAGAGAAGGGACCTCGAGGACCTCATTCGATTGGTTTTCAAGCGATTGGGAGGTGAGTGGCGGCAAGGTGAGGGACCTTTCGGAGTCTTCTATATAAAGTACTCCACATGAATCAGCGGGTTCTGCTGGAAGAGAAACCTGCAGTCGACAATTGAGACAATCAAAATATTCCGCGTCTACAAATGTCTTCGAGGGTAATTCCGTAGACTACGAATACAGCCGCTTCGTCTCTTCGCTCCTGGGCATCGCTGGAACGTTTCGCGAGATAGACACTCGGCTGTAGGGAGCGATGAGAAACCACTGTTTTCGCAGGCTAAAATACTGAAGCTTTAAAATTACATAAATTAAAGCTGTGCGGCGATTTTCTTTTTGCAGGTGAATTTCAACAGAAATATTTAACCTAACCATTACCAACGAATGCCCTCGGATACCTTGTGAAAGTTATTAACAGAGTTACTTCCACCATCTTCCATCATAATAAAAGTAGAAACTAACTTCAGTCTATAACGACCAATCAGTCCTTCCGTACTCTCGCCTGGCCACCTTTTTAAAAGCTTCTTATAACTGTCCGTAACTATCATCCATCCCAGCATCTCCTTAACTTCGATTCCACGTTGGTAAGTTACTAGAATTTTACAGAGAAAGCTCATTGTAGGGGAGGTTAAAGTTAGAAAATGATCCCATTTTGCCCATAGTACGAAGCATAGTTAGTGGAAAGACTTAATTCTCTTTGATTATATGACAGATATTTAATAATCATTTCAGGCGAGTTCCAGGGTGAATATAAAAGCCTCTCCGATTTTCCTGACCCTAGCCTTGGATCACTCAACGTTTCCACTCATCCCACGTCACCAATCATCACGTGTTCAGGCCGTGCACGTGATTGGCCCGAGTCACGTGGTATATACCGAAACAAAGACAATACTTTCGTTGTTTTTGTCAATGAAGACGATCACGTGCAGTTCAGGTGCTTCGATAAAGGTGGGAACGTGCAAGGCGTGTTTGACAAGTTAATCAGGGGAATTGCAGCGTTTGAGCGAGAGCTTAAGAAGTCTGGGGAAGAGTTCATGTGGGATGATCACCTTGGTTACATCGTTTCGGACCCAATTTACCTCGGTACTGCACTGGACGTTAGAGTAAGAGTCAAACTGCATCACCTTTCTACGGTAAGGATCAGTAAACCAGCTTGGTTTGCAAGCGTTTTAATCTCTTATGGCCGTTTTTACGTTTGGACGAACTGTGGGGGCTTGATATTTGGCCACTTCTTTGGACGATTTGACACAGGGTCAGACTCGCAATCTGGCGGTCCTGGGTTCGAGAGTTCCACTCTGACAACTGGCCGGATTCATTTCTCTGTAGTCTGCAATTCAGTTCCTCGGCCATGTTTAATTGTCACATAACAGCCAACAGGTTGTCTCCTACCATTCGTGGTTAAAAAAACAAAACAAAAACAAAAACAAAACACATCCCGTTATGTTCTCTACTATGATTAGTGAACTTATGCAACAGGGCGGGAGAGGAAAGAGGACGGCAAATCTTGTGTGCCAAGACAGACAATAATTTTGTTTGACATAATTTCGCTAAACTTCACTTCCCTTTGAACCGATCTTTTTGTAAAAGACCAGAAAACATTAAATTATGTGAAGTGAAAATCAGGACATAACACGCAAGTAATAGCCCTGTCACGTTTGACACGCACAAGCGTTTTGCTGTCTTCGTTCTTCCAGCCGTCCTGTTGCGTGAAACAAACAGCCTTCCCTGTCCCTACTAACAATCCCAGAAGTCTTTGCGAAAGTTAACTTGGCGAATACCCTAGCTTTGAAATATGCCATAGCTATTTCTGATCAATAACAGTAACCAATCTTCCCCAGGATCCAAGGCTAAGATGGATTCTCACGGCATACAAACTTG